GAATGAGGGACAAATGTCACTAGTCAATTTTACTATTCCTTGAATTACCTTATGGGATACAATTAAGTTAAGGTATTATCAAAGGTTGTCATTTTAAATTTAATATTTTGGTTTAACAGGCAATGTTGTTGTTTTGTTTTTTGAACGCATGTGTCCAAAGGGGGGAAGTACTGGTCGCATGGCGCTTTTTGGTAAATATGCTAATTGTATTAAGAATATGACCAGTAGTAATTAATGTGTTGTGGTTTAGATTACATTTTTTATATCCAAGTGTATTTGTGGTATAAGGCGGGATGTAGAGGAGGCCTATCTATTAAACTAGTGATTCATTCATTATAATGATACAGGACCAGCTAGACGTCAACTTCAGTGTCCCATCATTCATTATAACATTCATACTTATTTATAAACAATTGTTAACATAGGTTTTTCAAAACTCAGTTCAAATCAAATCAGATAATCTGTGTAGAACTCTCAAATGTTTTTTATTTATTACATTTTTAATCACAATGACATTAATTCACATTTCTATTTTGGGGACTATTGCTATTCTTAACATCTTTTACAGACAGACTTGCTGAAGCAACACATCTACAATAATACTACCAGAACAGTAACAGGTGATGTCCAGTATTCTACATAGACTGTAGAGGTGTCAGTGATTGGTTCAGGTTTACATGTAGGCACAAACATGACAATAACAGGTCAAATAACTGAAGAAATGTGTTGTTCCCAGAAGATCACAAAACATGTGTTGTTCCCAGAAGATCACAAAACATAAATGTGTTGTTCCCACAAGATCACAAGACATAAATGTGTTGTTCCCACAAGATCACAAAACATAAATGTGTTGTTCCCAGAAGATCACAAAACATGTGTTGGTCCCACAAGATCACAAAACATAAATGTGTTGTTCCCAGAAGATCACAAAACATAAATGTGTTGTTCCCAGAAGATCACAAAACATGTGTTGTTCCCACAAGATCACAAAACATAAATGTGTTGTTCCCAGAAGATCACAAAACATGTGTTGTTCCCACAAGATCACAAAACATAAATGTGTTGTTCCCAGAAGATCACAAAACATGTGTTGGTCCCACAAGATCACAAAACATAAATGTGTTGTTCCCACAAGATCACAAAACATAAATGTGTTGTTCCCACAAGATCACAAAACATAAATGTGTTGTTCCCACAAGATCACAAAACATGTGTTGGTCCCACAAGATCACAAGACATAAATGTGTTGTTCCCACAAGATCACAAAACATAAATGTGTTGTTCCCACAAGATCACAAAACATGTTTTGGTCCCACAAGATCACAAAACATAAATGTGTTGGTCCCACAAGATCACTCTGGAGTCGCTCTGGATAAGAGCGTCTGCTAAATGACTAAAATGTAAATGTAATGTAAATCACAAGACATAAATGTGTTGGTCCCACAAGATCACAAGACATAAATGTGTTGGTCCCACAAGATCACAAAACATAAATGTGTTGGTCCCACAAGATCACAAAACATAAATGTGTTGGTCCCACAAGATCACAAAACATAAATGTGTTGTTCCCACAAGATCACAAAACATAGCTTGAATGTCACACAACACAACCACAACATTTACATTACAACATTACAATGGCAAAGAATGGGGTGCATTTAAACCAGTATAGACCAAATAGCGGTTTCATCTGGTGTACTAGACGACGTTACCCAGCGGTTTCATCTGGTGTACTAGACGATTTCATCAGCTAAGATCGTGCTCATTATGACATAACAGCAAGATAGGGAGTGCATAGATACGTTCCAAATGGCACCCTATTCCCTAGTGCACTACTTTTAACCAGAGCCCTGGCCAAGGGTGTTATTTGAAACAAAACCCATGACTCAAAGCTCAACACTACATCCTCATAACCTCCCTGACAGAGAGACATTTCAAATGGATTCTGGACCTTATCGGCCCTTCATAGACTTTAAAACATTCATTAGACAGTGTGCTACGCTACAGTGTTTGTGAATGGTAGGGCAGTACCTGGTTTCTCTCATTAACAATTTGGTGATAGCTGACATAGTGTTTGATTTGGTTTACAACCTACTAGAAGATGTTCGTGACACTCAAGGGCCGGATATCTAAGTAGTCTCAGACACAGATATAACAAGGGTCTGATATCTAAGTAGTCTCAGACACAGATATAACAAGGGTCTGATATCTAAGTAGTCTCAGACACAGATATAACAAGGGTCTGATATCTAAGTAGTCTCAGACACAGATATAACAAGGGTCTGATATCTAAGTAGTCTCAGACACAGATATAACAAGGGTGTGATATCTAAGTAGTCTCAGACACAGATAGAACAAGGGTGTGATATCTAAGTAGTCTCAGACACAGATATAACAAGGGTCTGATATCTAAGTAGTCTCAGACACAGATATAACAAGGGTGTGATATCTAAGTAGTCTCAGACACAGTACAGATGTAAGGACCCCTCTTTAGATAAACAGAGTAGACAGACAGACACAGACAGACAACACTTGTTGAAAGTTGGGAGTGACATTCCAGGGTTGGAGCCCAGTGCTTAGAACCCACTGTCTCCATGGCTGTTCTAGAAGCTGGTGTCTGTGGTCCAGGGTTAGTGTGTGTTCTAGAAGCTGGTGTCTGCGGTCCAGGGTTAGTGTGTGTTCTAGAAGCTGGTGTCTGAGGTCCAGGGTTAGTGTGTGTTCTAGAAGCTGGTGTCTGCGGTCCAGGGTTAGTGTGTGTTCTAGAAGCTGGTGTCTGTGGTCCAGGGTTAGTGTGTGTTCTAGAAGCTGGTGTCTGAGGTCCAGGGTTAGTGTGTGTTCTAGAAGCTGGTGTCTGCGGTCCAGGGTTAGTGTGTGTTCTAGAAGCTGGTGTCTGAGGTCCAGGGTTAGTGTGTGTTCTAGAAGCTGGTGTCTGCAGTCCAGGGTTAGTGTGTGTTCTAGAAGCTGGTGTCTGAGGTCCAGGGTTAGTGTGTGTTCTAGAAGCTGGTGTCTGCAGTCCAGGGTTAGTGTGTGTTCTAGAAGCTGGTGTCTGTGGTCCAGGGTTAGTGTATGTTCTAGAAGCTGGTGTCTGCGGTCCAGGGTTAGTGTGTGTTCTAGAAGCTGGTGTCTGTGGTCCAGGGTTAGTGTATGTTCTAGAAGCTGGTGTCTGCGGTCCCAGGGTTAGTGTGTGTTCTAGAAGCTGGTGTCCTGCAGTCCAGGGTTAGTGTGTGTTCTAGAGCTGGTGTCTGAGGTCCAGGGTTAGTGTATGTTCTAGAAGCTGGTGTCTGCGGTCCAGGGTTATTGTGTGTTTCTAGACAGCTGGTGTCTGCGGTCCAGGGTTAGTGTATGTTCTAGAAGCTGGTGTCTGCGGTCCAGGGTTAGTGTGTGTTCTAGAAGCTGGTGTCTGCAGTCCAGGGTTAGTGTGTGTTCTAGAAGCTGGTGTCCTGAGGTCCAGGGTTAGTGTGTTCTAGAAGCTGGTGTCTGTGTCCAGGGTTATGTGTTGTTCTAGAAGCTGGTGTCTGTGGTCCAGGGTTAGTGTGTGTTCTAGAAGTCTGGTGTCTGTGGTCCAGGGTTAGTGTGTGTTCTAGAAGCTGGTGTCTGCGGTCAGGGTTAGTGTGTGTTCTAGAAGCTGGTGTCTGTGGTCCAGGGTTAGTGTGTGTTCTAGAAGCTGGTGTCTGCGGTCCAGGGTTAGTGTGTGTTCTAGAAGCTGGTGTCTGCGGTCCAGGGTTAGTGTGTGTTCTAGAAGCTGGTGTCTGTGGTCCAGGGTTAGTGTGTGTTCTAGAAGCTGGTGTCTGCGGTCCAGGGTTAGTGTGTGTTCTAGAAGCTGGTGTCTGCAGGTCCAGGGTTAGTGTGTGTTCTAGAAGCTGGTGTCTGAGGTCCAGGGTTAGTGTGTGTTCTAGAAGCTGGTGTCTGCGGTCCAGGGTTAGTGTGTGTTCTAGAAGCTGGTGTCTTCAGTCCAGGATTAGTGTGTGTTCTAGAAGCTGGTGTCTGCGGTCCAGGGTTAGTGTGTGTTCTAGAAGCTGGTGTCTGCGGTCCAGGGTTAGTGTGTGTTCTAGAAGCTGGTGTCTGTGGTCCAGGGTTAGTGTGTGTTCTAGAAGCTGGTGTCTGAGGTCCAGGGTTAGTGTGTGTTCTAGAAGCTGGTGTCTGAGGTCCAGGGTTAGTGTGTCTTCTAGAAGCTGGTGTCTGAGGTCCAGGGTTAGTGTGTGTTCTAGAAGCTGGTGTCTGCGGTCCAGGGTTAGTGTGTGTTCTAGAAGCTGGTGTCTGCGGTCCAGGGTTAGTGTGTGTTCTAGAAGCTGGTGTCTGAGGTCCAGGGTTAGTGTGTGTTCTAGAAGCTGGTGTCTGCAGTCCAGGGTTAGTGTGTGTTCTAGAAGCTGGTGTCTGAGGTCCAGGGTTAGTGTATGTTCTAGAAGCTGGTGTCTGCGGTCCAGGGTTAGTGTGTGTTCTAGAAGCTGGTGTCTGCGGTCCAGGGTTAGTGTATGTTCTAGAAGCTGGTGTCTGCGGTCCAGGGTTAGTGTGTGTTCTAGAAGCTGGTGTCTGCAGTCCAGGGTTAGTGTGTGTTCTAGAAGCTGGTGTCTGAGGTCCAGGGTTAGTGTGTGTTCTAGAAGCTGGTGTCTGTGGTCCAGGGTTAGTGTGTGTTCTAGAAGCTGGTGTCTGTGGTCCAGGGTTAGTGTGTGTTCTAAAAGCTGGTGTCTGTGGTCCAGGGTTAGTGTGTGTTCTAGAAGCTGGTGTCTGTGGTCCAGGGTTAGTGTGTGTTCTAGAAGCTGGTGTCTGCAGTCCAGGGTTAGTGTGTGTTCTAGAAGCTGGTGTCTGTGGTCCAGGGTTAGTGTGTGTTCTAGAAGCTGGTGTCTGCGGTCCAGGGTTAGTGTGTGTTCTAGAAGCTGGTGTCTGCAGTCCAGGGTTAGTGTGTGTTCTAGAAGCTGGTGTCTGAGGTCCAGGGTTAGTGTGTGTTCTAGAAGCTGGTGTCTGCGGTCCAGGGTTAGTGTGTGTTCTAGAAGCTGGTGTCTTCAGTCCAGGGTTAGTGTGTGTTCTAGAAGCTGGTGTCTGAGGTCCAGGGTTAGTGTGTGTTCTAGAAGCTGGTGTCTGTGGTCCAGGGTTAGTGTGTGTTCTAGAAGCTGGTGTCTGAGGTCCAGGGTTAGTGTGTGTTCTAGAAGCTGATGTCTGAGGTCCAGGGTTAGTGTGTCTTCTAGAAGCTGGTGTCTGAGGTCCAGGGTTAGTGTGTGTTCTAGAAGCTGGTGTCTGCGGTCCAGGGTTAGTGTGTGTTCTAGAAGCTGGTGTCTGAGGTCCAGGGTTAGTGTGTGTTCTAGAAGCTGGTGTCTGAGGTCCAGGGTTAGTGTGTGTTCTAGAAGCTGGTGTCTGAGGTCCAGGGTTAGTGTATGTTCTAGAAGCTGGTGTCTGTGGTCCAGGGTTAGTGTGTGTTCTAGAAGCTGGTGTCTGAGGTCCAGGGTTAGTGTGTGTTCTAGAAGCTGGTGTCTGAGGTCCAGGGTTAGTGTGTGTTCTAGAAGCTGGTGTCTGAGGTCCAGGGTTAGTGTGTGTTCTAGAAGCTGGTATCTGCGGTCCAGGGTTAGTGTGTGTTCTAGAAGCTGGTATCTGCGGTCCAGGGTTAGTGTGTGTTCTAGAAGCTGGTGTCTGTGGTCCAGGGTTAGTGTGTGTTCTAGAAGCTGGTGTCTGTGGTCCAGGGTTAGTGTGTGTTCTAGAAGCTGGTGTCTGTGGTCCAGGGTTAGTGTCTGTTCTAGAAGCTGGTGTCTGAGGTCCAGGGTTAGTGTGTGTTCTAGAAGCTGGTGTCTGTGGTCCAGGGTTAGTGTGTGTTCTAGAAGCTGGTGTCTGTGGTCCAGGGTTAGTGTATATTCTAGAAGCTGGTGTCTGTGGTCCAGGGTTAGTGTGTGTTCTAGAAGCTGGTGTCTGCGGTCCAGGGTTAGTGTGTGTTCTAGAAGCTGGTGTCTGTGGTCCAGGGTTAGTGTGTGTTCTAGAAGCTGGTGTCTGCGGTCCAGGGTTAGTGTGTGTTCTAGAAGCTGGTGTCTGTGGTCCAGGGTTAGTGTGTGTTCTAGAAGCCGGTGTCGATGCTGAGAGAGCGTCGGGTCACATGTTCTATCTCTCCAGGGACGTACTCGCTGAAGCTGGTCTGGTGCTTGGCCAACATTTTCAGAATCTGATGCAGGTTCTGCCACCACTGGACCTTGGGCATCCGGTGCCTATGGCAGGAGGGGGAGGAAGAGAGATTTTACTGCCTGCTTAGGGACTAAAATGACACACTGTAAAAACCAGATTGTAAAGGACTTCGTAACAACTGCTGATGTAAACAAGGTTTGGATGGATGGACAACAGGTGTGGTACTCTACTCACTCAAAGTCAGTCTGTGTCTTAAGGTCAATGACAGGGATGAAGGTTAGGAGCTTCTTACTGAAGCCGATGACAGACGCTGTGTCCGGGGCGTTGGCAAACACACGACCTGGAACGGTAGAAGTAGAGGTGGGGATAAACATGATATATATCCATCACCCTGTTTCCATGGCTTCATGTTGTTGAATCAGAGCTAAAGGCACTCTTACAGTGTCTTTATAGTGCCCTACTTTTAACCAGAGCCATGGCACACTATTCCCTTTATAGTGCCCTACTTTTAACCAGAGCCATGGCACACTATTCCCTTTATAGTGCCCTACTTTTAACCAGAGCCATGGCACACTATTCCCTTTATAGTGCCCTACTTTTAACCAGAGCCATGGCACACTATTCCCTTTATAGTGCCCTACTTTTAACCAGAGCCATGGCACACTATTCCCTTTATAGTGCCCTACTTTTAACCAGAGCCATGGCACACTATTCCCTTTATAGTGCCCTACTTTTAACCAGAGCCATGGCACACTATTCCCTTTATAGTGCCCTACTTTTAACCAGAGCCCAAAAGTAGTGTATTATGCAGGGTATAGGGTGCCGGTATAGGGTGCCGGTATAGGGTGCCGGTATAGGGTGCAGGGTATAGGGTGCCGGTATAGGGTGCCGGTATAGGGTGCCGGTATAGAGTGCAGGGTATAGGGTGCCGGTATAGGGTGCCGGTATAGGGTGCCGGGTATAGGGTGCCGGTATAGGGTGCAGGGTATAGGGTGCCGGTATAGGGTGCCGGTATAGGGTGCAGGGTATAGGGTGCCGGTATAGGGTGCAGGGTATAGGGTGCCGGTATAGGGTGCAGGGTATAGGGTGCCGGTATAGGGTGCAGGGTATAGGGTGCCGGTATAGGGTGCAGGGTATAGGGTGCCGGTATAGGGTGCCATTAGGGACACACCCAGTACCTTGTCTGAAGTTGTTGATCATCTTCTCTGTGAGCCACTGCACAGCCTTCACACCCAGCTTGGTGCCAAAGTTTCTGTCGAAGGGTGTTGGTGCGCCTCCCTAGAATGACACCAGAGATAAAAAAGTTCATCTAAAAAAAGAATGAAAAAACATATAGGAACCATTTCGATAATTCATGCACTTCACAGTCTAGACCATATAAGTCTACCCCCTAATTTCATTATCAAGAAACTCATCATGCTATTAATATAAGGTTGCATTTTAACATGTAAGCTTTAGCAGTGTGGTTCTGTTCGTTCCATACCTGCTGGAGGTGCCCCAGCACGTTGACCCTACAGTCGAAGATGCCCTTCCCCTCGGCCGAGTACAGCTTGTGGATGAAATCAGTGGTGTAGTGAAGGTGACACTTCTCATTCCTACAGAGACAGAACCAGAGAGGTCCTATAATTCATTATATTAACTGTCCTATAGAGACAGAACCAGAAAGGTCCTATAATTCATTATATTAACTGTCCTATAGAGACAGATATAAGAGAGATCCTATAATTCATTATATTAACTGTCCTATAGAGACAGATGTAAGAGAGATCCTATAATTCATTATATTAACTGTCCTATAGAGACAGATGTAAGAGAGATCCTATAATTCATTATATTAACTGTCCTATAGAGACAGATGTAAGAGAGATCCTATAATTCATTATATTAACTGTCCTATAGAGACAGATGTAAGAGAGATCCTATAATTCATTATATTAACTGTCCTATAGAGACAGATGTAAGAGAGATCCTATAATTCATTATATTAACTGTCCTATAGAGACAGAACCATAGAGATCCTATAATTCATTATATTAACTGTCCTATAGAGACAGAACCATAGAGATCCTATAATTCACTATATTAACTGTCCTATAGAGACAGATGTAAGAGAGATCCTATAATTCATTATATTAACTGTCCTATAGAGACAGATGTAAGAGAGATCCTATAATTCATTATATTAACTGTCCTATAGAGACAGAACCAGAAAGGTCCTATAATTCATTATATTAACTGTCCTATAGAGACAGATGTAAGAGAGATCCTATAATTCATTATATTAACTGTCCTACAGAGACAGAACCATAGAGATCCTATAATTCATTATATTAACTGTCCTATAGAGACAGATGTAAGAGAGATCCTATAATTCATTATATTAACTGTCCTATAGAGACAGATGTAAGAGATCCTATAATTCATTATATTAACTGTCCTATAGAGACAGATGTAAGAGAGATCCTATAATTCATTATATTAACTGTCCTATAGAGACAGATGTAAGAGAGATCCTATAATTCATTATATTAACTGTCCTATAGAGACAGAACCAGAAAGGTCCTATAATTCATTATATTAACTGTCCTATAGAGACAGATGTAAGAGAGATCCTATAATTCATTATATTAACTGTCCTATAGAGACAGATGTAAGAGAGATCCTATAATTCATTATATTAACTGTCCTATAGAGACAGATGTAAGAGAGATCCTATAATTCATTATATTAACTGTCCTATAGAGACAGAACCATAGAGATCCTATAATTCACTATATTAACTGTCCTATAGAGACAGATGTAAGAGAGATCCTATAATTCATTATATTAACTGTCCTATAGAGACAGATGTAAGAGAGATCCTATAATTCATTATATTAACTGTCCTATAGAGACAGATGTAAGAGAGATCCTATAATTCATTATATTAACTGTCCTATAGAGACAGAACCATAGAGATCCTATAATTCATTATATTAACTGTCCTATAGAGACAGAACCATAGAGATCCTATAATTCACTATATTAACTGTCCTATAGAGACAGATGTAAGAGAGATCCTATAATTCATTATATTAACTGTCCTATAGAGACAGAACCATAGAGATCCTATAATTCATTATATTAACTGTCCTATAGAGACAGATGTAAGAGAGATCCTATAATTCATTATATTAACTGTCCTATAGAGACAGATGTAAGAGATCCTATAATTCATTATATTAACTGTCCTATAGAGACAGATGTAAGAGAGATCCTATAATTCACTATATTAACTGTCCTATAGAGACAGATGTAAGAGAGATCCTATAATTCATTATATTAACTGTCCTATAGAGACAGAACCAGAAAGGTCCTATAATTCATTATATTAACTGTCCTATAGAGACAGATGTAAGAGAGATCCTATAATTCATTATATTAACTGTCCTATAGAGACAGATGTAAGAGAGATCCTATAATTCATTATATTAACTGTCCTATAGAGACAGATGTAAGAGAGATCCTATAATTCATTATATTAACTGTCCTATAGAGACAGATGTAAGAGAGATCCTATAATTCATTATATTAACTGTCCTATAGAGACAGATGTAAGAGAGATCCTATAATTCATTATATTAACTGTCCTATAGAGACAGAACCATAGAGATCCTATAATTCATTATATTAACTGTCCTATAGAGACAGATGTAAGAGAGATCCTATAATTCATTATATTAACTGTCCTATAGAGACAGATGTAAGAGAGATCCTATAATTCACTATATTAACTGTCCTATAGAGACAGATGTAAGAGAGATCCTATAATTCATTATATTAACTGTCCTATAGAGACAGATGTAAGAGAGATCCTATAATTCACTATATTAACTGTCCTATAGAGACAGATGTAAGAGAGATCCTATAATTCATTATATTAACTGTCCTATAGAGACAGAACCATAGAGATCCTATAATTCACTATATTAACTGTCCTATAGAGACAGATGTAAGAGAGATCCTATAATTCATTATATTAACTGTCCTATAGAGACAGATGTAAGAGAGATCCTATAATTCATTATATTAACTGTCCTATAGAGACAGATGTAAGAGAGATCCTATAATTCACTATATTAACTGTCCTATAGAGACAGATGTAAGAGAGATCCTATAATTCATTATATTAACTGTCCTATAGAGACAGAACCATAGAGATCCTATAATTCACTATATTAACTGTCCTATAGAGACAGATGTAAGAGAGATCCTATAATTCATTATATTAACTGTCCTATAGAGACAGATGTAAGAGAGATCCTATAATTCATTATATTAACTGTCCTATAGAGACAGAACCATAGAGATCCTATAATTCATTATATTAACTGTCCTATAGAGACAGATGTAAGAGAGATCCTATAATTCATTATATTAACTGTCCTATAGAGACAGATGTAAGAGAGATCCTATAATTCATTATATTAACTGTCCTATAGAGACAGATGTAAGAGAGATCCTATAATTCATTATATTAACTGTCCTATAGAGACAGATGTAAGAGAGATCCTATAATTCATTATATTAACTGTCCTATAGAGACAGATGTAAGAGAGATCCTATAATTCATTATATTAACTGTCCTATAGAGACAGATGTAAGAGAGATCCTATAATTCATTATATTAACTGTCCTATAGAGACAGATGTAAGAGAGATCCTATAATTCATTATATTAACTGTCCTATAGATACATCACTGTGCTTGCTTTGCAGTATTGCTTCCTTCACTGTCATCGGCTCCAACTAGTGACCAACCTGCTTGACAACATGTGACCACCCTGCTTGACAACATGTGACCACCCTGCTTGACAACATGTGACCACCCTGCTTGACAAATGTGACCACCCTGCTTGACAACATGTGACCACCCTGCTTGACAACATGTGACCACCCTGCTTGACAACATACAAACCATCTGCACCACAGAAAAGGTACCAATTTGACCGTGCCATTGGTGACATTTCAAGCTGTGGAGTGATCTTATCCGGCACGATTTGACGAGGTTCCACACTGTCAGAGACGCTACTTCCCTGTCAGAGACGCTACTTCCCTGTCAGAGACGCTAATTCCCTGTTAGAGACGCAATTTCACTGTCAGAGACGCTACTTCACTGTCAGAGACGCTACTTCCCTGTCAGAGACGCTACTTCCCTGTCAGAGACGCTACTTCCCTGTCAGAGACGCTACTTCCCTGTCAGAGACGCTACTTCCCTGTCAGAGACGCTACTTCCCTGTCAGAGACGCTACTTCACTGTCAGAGACGCTACTTCCCTGTCAGAGACGCTACTTCACTGTCAGTGACGCTACTTCCCTGTCAGAGACGCTACTTCCCTGTCAGAGACGCTACTTCCCTGTCAGAGACGCTACTTCACTGTCAGAGACGCTACTTCACTGTCAGAGACGCTACTTCCCTGTCAGAGACGCTACTTCCCTGTCAGAGACGCTACTTCCCTGTCAGAGACGCTACTCACTGTCAGAGACGCTACTTCACTGTAGAGACGCTACTTCCCTGTCAGAGACGCTACTTCCCTGGCAGAGACGCTACTTCCCTGTCAGAGAGCTACTTCCTGTCAGAGACGCTACTTCCCTGTCAGAGACGCTACTCCCTGTCAGAGACGCTACTTCCCTGTCAGAGACGCTACTTCCTGTCAGAGACGCTACTCCCTGTCAGAGACGCTACTTCCCTGTCAGAGACGCTACTCCCTGTCAGAGACGCTACTTCCCTGTCAGAGACGTACTTCCCTGTCAGAGACGCTACTCACTGTCAGAGACGCTACTTCACGTCCAGAGACGCTACTTCCCTGTCAGAGACGCTACTTCCTGTCAGAGACGCTACTTCTCTGTCAGAGATGCTACTTCCCTGTCAGAGACGCTACTTCCATGTTCAGAGACGCTTACTTCCCTGTCAGAGACGCTACTCCCTGTCAGAGACGCTACTTCCCTGTCAGAGACGCTACTTCACTGTCGGACGCTACTTTTTCACTGTCAGAGACGCTACTTCACTGTCAGAGACGCTACTTCCCTGTCAGAGACGCTACTTCCCTGTCAGAGACGCTAGTTCACTGTCAGAGACTCTACTTCCCTGTCAGAGACGCTACTTCCCTGTCAGAGACGCTACTTCCCTGTCAGAGACGCTACTTCACCGTCTTTACTGTTTCATTAAGTATATTAAACATTTATTGTTTATATCACTAAATAAGGCTTTCAATGAGTTGCTAGGCTGGCAATTAAGAGATAAATAATAATTAATGAACTCCTTATTTCTAACCTCTATAAAGATGTAATGATGACTTGCTCAAATTAAATTAAATTGTATTGGTCACACACATATTTAGCAGATGTTATTGCGGGTGTAGCGAAATGCTTGTGCTTCTAGCTCCGACAGTGCAGTAGTATCTAACAATTCACAACAATACACACAAATCTAAAAGTAAAATAATGGAATTAAGAAATATATAAATATTAGGACGAACAATGTCAGAGTGGCATTGACTAAAATACAGTAGAATAGAATACAGTATATACAGTCGAGGTCAAAAGTTTTGAGAATGACACAAGTATTGGTCTTCACAAAGTTCGCTGCTTCAGTGTTTTTAGATATTTTTGTCAGATGTTACTATGGTACACTGAAGTATAATTACAAGCATTCCATAAGTGTCAAAGGCTTTTATTGACAATTACATTAAGTTTATGCAAAGAGTCAATATTTGCAGTGTTGACCCTTCTTTTTCAAGGCCTTTGCAATCCGCCCTGGCATGCTGTCAATTAACTTCTGGGCCACATCCTGACTGATGGCAGCCCATTCTTGCATAATCAATGCTTGGAGTTTGTGGGTTTTAGTTTGTCCACCCGCCTCTTGAGGATCGACCACAAGTTCTCAATGGGATTAAGGTCTGGGGAGTTTCCTGGCCATGGACCCAAAATGTCGATGTTTTGTTCCCCAAGCCACTTAGTTATCACTTTTGGCTTATGGCAAGGTGCTCCATCATGCTGGAAAAGGCATTGTTCGTCACCAAACTGTTCTTGGATGGTTGGGAGAAGTTGCTCTCGGAGGATGTGTTGGTACCATTCTTTATTCATGGCTGTGTTCTTAGGCAAAATTGTGAGTGAGCCCACTCCCTTGGCTGAGAAGCAACACCACACATGAATGATCTCAGGATGCTTTACTGTTGGCATGACACAGGACTGATGGTAGCGCTCACCTTGTCTTCTCCGGACAAGCTTTTTTCCGGATACCCCAAACAATCGGAAAGGGGATTCATCAGAGAAAATGACTTTACCCCAGTCCTCAGCAGTCCAATCCCTGTACCTTTTGCAGAATAGCAGTCTGTCCCTGATGTTTTTACTGGAGAGAAGAGGCTTCCTCGCTGCCCTTCTTGACACCAGGCCATCCTCCAAAAGTCTTCGCCTCACTGTGCGTGCAGATGCACTCACACCTGCCTGCTGCCATTCCTGAGCAAGCTCTGCACTGGTGGTGCCCCGATCCCGCAGCTGAATCAACTTTAGGAGACGGTCCTGGCGCTTGCTGGACTTTCTTGGCCGCCCTGAAGCCATCTTCACAACAATTGAACATCTCTCCTTGAAGTTCTTGATGATCCGATAAATGGTTGATTTAGGTGCAATCTTACTAGCTGCAATATCCTTGCCTGTGAAGCCCTTTTTGTGCAAAGTAATGTGGTCCTCTGTAGCTCAGCTGGTAGAGCACGGCGCTTGTAACGCCAAGATAGTGGGTTCGATCCCCGGGACCACCCATACACAAAAATGTATGCACGCATGACTAAGTCGCTTTGGATAAAAGCGTCTGCTAAATGGCATATTATTATTATTATTATGACGGCACTAGTTTCCTTGTAGGTAACCATGGTTAACAGAGGAAGAACAATGATTTCAAGCACCACCCTCCTTTTAAAGCTTCCAGTCTGTTATTCTAACTCAATCAGCATGACAGAGTGATCTCCAGCCTTGTTCTCGTCAACACTCTCACCTGTGTTAACGAGAGAATCACTGACATGATGGCAGCTGGTCCTTTTGTGGCAGGGCTGAAATGCAGTGGAAATGTTTTTCTGGGATTAAATTCATTTTCATGGCAAAGAGGGACTTTGCAATTAATTGCAATTCATCTGATCACTCTTCATGACATTCTGGAGTATATGCAAATTGCAATCATAAAAACTGCGGCAGCAGACTTTGTGAAAATTAATATTTGTGTCATTCTCAAAACCTTTGACCACGACTGTACATACGAGATGAGTAAAGCAGTATGTAAACATTATTAAAGTGACTAGTGTTCCATTATTAAAGTGACCAGTGATTCCATGTCTATGTGTATAGGGCAGCAGCTGCTAAGGTGCAGGGTTGAGTAACCGGGTGGAGGCCGGCTAGTGATGGCTGTTTAACAGTCTGATGGCCTTGAGATAGAAGCTGTTTTTCAGTCTCTCGGTCCCAGCTTTGATGCACCTGTACTGACCTCGCCTTCTAGATGATAGCGGGGTCAACAGGCCGTGGCTCGGGTGGTTGATGTCCTTGATGATATTTTTGGCCTTCCTGTGATATCGGTGCTGTAGGTGTCCTGGAGGGCAGGCAGTGTGCCCCCGGTGATGCGTTGGACAGACCGCACCACCCTCTGGAGAGCCCTGCGGTTGCGGGCGGTGCAGTTGCCATACCAGGCGGTGATACAGCCCGACAGGATGCTCTCAATTGTGCATCTGTAAAAGTTTGTGAGGGTCTTAGGGCCCAACCCAAATTTCTTCAGCCTCCTGAGGTTGAAGAGGCGCAGATTGTCAGTGCTGTGTACGCCGAGGAACTTGAAGCTTTTCACCTTCTCCACTGCGGTCCCGTCGATGTGAATAGGGGCGTGCTCTCTCTGTTGTCTCCTGAAGTCAACGATCAGCTCCTTTGTTTTGCTGACATTGAGGGAGAGGTTATTTTCCTGGCACCACTCTGCCAGGGTCCTCACCTCCTCCCTGTAAGCTGTCTCGTCGGTAATCAAGCCTACTACTGTTGTGTCATCTGCGAACTTGATGATTTGAGTTGGAGGCGTGCTTGGCCACGCAGTCATGGGTGAACAGGGAGTACAGGAGGGGGCTGAGCACGCACCCTTGTGGGGCCCCAGTGTTGAGGATCAGCGAGGTGGAGATGTTTCCTACCTTCACCTACCTTGTTGATAACCTCTATAAAGATGTAATGATGTCATGTCTTACCTCTATAAAGATGTAATGATGTCTTGTTGATAACCTCTATAAAGATGTAATGATGTCATGTCTTACCTCTATAAAGATGTAATGATGTCTTGTTGATAACCTCTATAAAGATGTAATGATGTCTTGTTGATAACCTCTATAAAGATGTAATTATGTCTTGTTGATAACCTCTATAAAGATGTAATGATGTCTTGTTGATAACCTCTATAAAGATGTAATGATGTCTTGTTGATAACCTCTATAAAGATGTAATTATGTCTTGTTGATAACCTCTATAAAGATGTAATGATGTCTTGTTGATAACCTCTATAAAGATGTAATGATGTCTTGTTGATAACCTCTATAAAGATGTAATGATGTCTTGTTGATAACCTCTATAAAGATGTAATTATGTCTTGTTGATAACCTCTATAAAGATGTAATGATGTCTTGTCTTACCTCTATAAAGATGTAATGATGTCTTACCTCAGCACGAGACCCCTCTGGATGTCTTCCTTCATCTTCTCTGTGAGATGCTCCACGTTAGTCTGAAAGGGCAGGGTCATTCCAGAGGTGTATTTATTAAGACTACATGGATCATTTATCACTCTGTTCAGGAAGCCTCCAGTATATCCATATAAAATGACTCCGTGGTCTATCTGGGATAATGAGCACAGCCGTCTAATTGAAGACTGTGTGAGTGTCTGAAATGGAACTCTATTAGTGCACTACTGTTGACCAGAGTAGGGAATAGGGTGCTATTTCAGCTGCAGCCTGGATCTCACCTTTAGGTCCTGGAGGTTGAAGGGGTCCTCGAAGATGTAAGCAGCGTCCGCTCCCACAGCGATACCGGTGGTGGTTGCCAGGTAACCACAGTACCCTCCCATAGTCTCCACTACGAACACCCTCCTCTTGGTCCCCGTAGCTGACTGCTTAATCTTATCGCAACTCTAAGAGAGGAGGGGACAGACAGACACATGACAGACAGACGAATGACAGACACACAGACATGACAGACAGACAGACACATGACAGACAGACAGACGAATGACAGACACACAGACACATGACAGACAGACAGACACATGACAGACATACAGACACATGACAGACAGACAGACACATGACAGACAGACAGACAGACGAATGACAGACAGACAGACACATGACAGACAGACACATGACAGACAGACAGACACATGACAGACAGACAGACACATGACAGACAGACAGACACATGACATACAGACGAATGACAGACAGACAGACACATGACAGACAGACACATGACAGACAGACAGACACATGACAGACAGACACATGACAGACAGACAGACACATGACAGACAGACAGACACATGACATACAGACGAATGACAGACACACAGACACATGACAGACAGACAGACACATGACATACAGACGAATGACAGACACACAGACACATGACAGACAGACACATGACAGACAGACAGACAGACAGACAGACAGACAGACACATGACAGACAGACACATGACAGACAGACACATGACAGACAACAAACAGACAACACTGACAGACAGACAATGACAGTAAACAAACAGACAGACACATGACAACAGAACACTGTACAGACAGACAACGCAGTTAAGACACACACTAAATAGATTAAAGGTCATCTGCGTTTTACATCCTATTGGACTTATAACTCATGAGCTTAGTGCAACTGTCGTACCCCATCAGAACCCCAAATATAAGTTTGTTTTACTCCTTTGTTTGTAAACAAAGTAAATGTAAACAAACACTGTATAGCCTCAAAACATGGTTAAAACTATACACACGGTTAAAACTATACACACGGTTAAAACTATACACACGGTTAAAACTATACACACGGTTAAAACTATACACACGGTTAAAACTATACACACGGTTAAAACTATACACACGGTTAAAACTATACACACGGTTAAAACTATAAATTAAAACTATAAACATGGTTAAAATTATTACCATGGTTAAAACTAACATGGTTAAAACGATCAATTAAAACTATACACATGGTTAAAACTATAAACATGGATAAAACCATTAACATGGATAAAACCAGAAACATGGTTAAAACTATAAACATGTTACAATTATTAACATGGTTAAAACTATGAACATGGTTAAAACTATACACATGGTTAAAACTATTAACAAGGTTAAAACTATACACATGGTTAAAACTATACACATGGTTAAAACTATTAACAAGGTTAAAACTATTAACAAGGTTAAAACTATACACATGGTTAAAACTATTAACAAGGTTAAAACTATACACATGGTTAAAACTATACACATGGTTAAAACTATCAATTAAAACTATAAACATGGTTAAAATTATTACCATGGTTAAAACTAACATGGTTAAAATGATCAATTAAAACTATACACATGGTTAAAACCATAAACATGGATAAAACTATTAACATGGATAAAATCAGAAACATGGTTAAAACTATACACATGGTTAAAACTATACACATGGTTAAAACTATTCACATGGTTACAACTATAAACATGGTTAAAACTATACACATGGTTAAAACTATTCACATGGTTACAACTATAAACATGGTTAAAACTATTCACATGGTTACAACTATAAACATGGTTACAACTATAAACATGTTTAAAACTATTAACAAGGTTAAAACTATTAACAAGGTTAAAACTATGAACATGGTTACAACTATGAACATGGTTACAACTATACACATGGTTAAAACTATTAACACGGTTAAAACTATTAACAAGGTTAAAACTATTAACAAGGTTAAAACTATTAACAAGGTTAAAACTATAAACATGGTTAAAACTAACATGGTTAAAACTATCAATTAAAACTATTAACATGGTTAAAACTATAAACATGGTTAAAACTATTAACATGGTTACAACTATAAACATGGTTAAAACTAACATGGTTGAAACTAACATGGTTACAATTATAAACATGGTTAAAAAATGGTTACAATTATTACCATGGTTAAAACTAACATGGTTAAAACTATCAATTAAAACTATTAACATGGTTAAAACTATTAACAAGGTTAAAACTATTAACAAGGTTAAAACTATAAACATGTTTTTTTTTTTTTTTTTTTTTTTTCCACCTTTATTTAACCAGGTAAACCAGTTGAGAACAAGTTCTCATTTACAACTGCGACCTGGCCAAGATAAAGCAAAGCAGTGAGATAAAAACAACAACACAGAGTTACATATGGGGTAAAACAAAACAAAGTCAAAAATACAACAGAAATACATATAATATACAGTGTGCAAATTTAGCAAGTTATGGAGGTAAGGCAATAAAATAGGCTATAGTGCAAAATAATTACAATTAGTATTAACACTGGAATGATAGATGTGCAAGAGATGATGTGCAAATAGAGATACTGGGGTGCAAAAGAGCAAAATAAATAACAATATAGGGATGAGGTAGTTGGGTGGGCTAATTTCAGATGGGCTGTGTACAGGTGCAGTGATCGGTAAGCTGCTCTGACAACTGATGCTTAAAGTTAGTGAGGGAGATAAGAGTCTCCAGCTTCAGAGATTTTTGCAATTTGTTCCAGTCATTGGCAGCAGAGAACTGGAAGGAATGGCGGCCAAAGGAGGTGTTGGCTTTGGGAATGACCAGTGAGATATACCCGCTGGAGCGCAGACTACGGGTGGGTGTTGCTATGGTGACCAATGAGCTAAGATAAGGCGGGGATTTGCCTAGCAGTGATTTATAGATGGCCTGGAGCCAGTGGGTTTGGCGACGAATATGTAGTGAGGACCAGCCAACAAGAGCGTACAGGTCACAGTGGTGGGTATTATATGGGGCTTTGGAGACAAAACGGATGGCACTGTGATAGACAACATCCAATTTGCTGAGTAGAGTGTTGGAGGCTATTTTGTAAATGACATCGCCGAAGTCAAGGATCGGTAGGATAGTCAGTTTTACGAGGGCATGTTTGGCAGCATGAGTGAAGGAGGCTTTGTTGCGAAATAGGAAACCGATTCTAGATTTAACTTTGGATTGGAGATTCTTAATGTGAGTCTGGAAGGAGAGTTTACAGTCTAACCAGACACCTAGATATTTGTAGTTGTCCACATACTCTAGGTCAGACCCGTCGAGAGTAGTGATTCTAGTCGGGTGGGCGGGTGCAAGCAGCGTTCGGTTGAAGAGCATGCATTTAGTTTTACTAGTGTTTAAGAGCAGTTGGAGGCTACTGAAGGAGTGTTGTATGGCATTGAAGCTCGTTTGGAGGTTTGTTAACACAGTGTCCAATGAAGGGCCAGATGTATACAAAATGGTGTCGTCTGCGTAGAGGTGGATCTGAGAGTCACCAGCAGCAAGAGCGACGTCATTGATATACACAGAGAAAAGAGTCGGCCCAAGAATTGAACCCTGTGGCACCCCCATAGAGACTGCCATAGGTCCAGACAACAGGCCCTCCGATTTGACACATTGAACTCTATCTGAGAAGTAGTTGGTGAACCAGGCGAGGCAGTCATTTGAGAAACCAAGGCTATTTAGTCTGCCAATAAGAATGCGGTGGTTGACAGAGTCGAAAGCCTTGGCCAGGTCAATGAAAACGGCTGCACAGTACTATCTATTATCGATCGCGGTTATAATATCGTTTAGGACCTTGAGCGTGGCTGAAGTGCACCCATGACCAGCTCGGAAACCGGATTGCATAGCGGAGAAGGTACGGTGGGATTCGAAATGGTCGGTGATCTGTTTGTTGACTTGGCTTTCAAAAACTTTTGAAAGGCAGGGCAGGATGGATATGGGTCTGTAACAGTTTGGATCTAGAGTGTCACCCCCTTTGAAGAGGGGGATGACCGCGGCAGCTTTCCAATCTCTGGGGATCTCAGACGTTACGAAAGAGAGGTTGAACAGGCTAGTAATAGGGGTTGCGACAATTTCGGCGGCTAGTTTTAGAAAGAAAGGGTCCAGATTGTCTAAAACTATTAACATGGTTAAAACTATTAACATGGTTAAAACTATAATATTTCTCCAGACCCATCCCTCAGCTATTTACCGAAACAGGAAGTCCACTTCATTATTGTTTCAACTGGTGATTTAACTTACTAACATATAAACTATTATGAGGCCTCTGTGTGATGTTACTCTGCTAAAACAGGCACTGCTGAGGGAGCAGAGTTGGAGATGGGAAGGGGCCTTGTCTTGACATCTGGTCGGCCTCATGGGAAGGGGCCTTGTCTTGACATCTGGTCGGCCTCATGTTTTAAATTGAGTTTATAGTGTCAATCTAGATTCACCTGCCATCTTGTTGCCAGAGACGAACCACACTGGAAAATGACCCTTTGGGTTTTATTGTGTTTTATCCTTCATCAAATCAGACTGACCTCCATGGCAGCATTGACAGCCGTGTCTGACCCCAGACTGAAGTCTGTCCCGGGCACGTTGTTACTGATGGTGGCAGGGATCACCACCATGGGGATACACAACTCATCAAATCCACCACGAGCATCATACAGCTGCAGCACGCCCTCGTATGCCTATAGACAAAACACACCATGAGGGAAGACAAAACACACCATGAGGGAAGACCAAAACACACCATGAGGGAAGACACCATGAGGGAGTACACCATGAGGGAGTACACCATGAGGGAGTACACCATGAGGGAAGACACCATGAGGGAAGACACCATGAGGGAAGACACCACGAGGGAAGACACCACGAGGGAAGACACCACGAGGGAAGACACCACGAGGGAAGACACCACGAGGGAAGACACCACGAGGGAAGACACCACGAGGGAAGACACCACACACCAACACAGTCAGATTGTTTAGTCTTTCTAACAGCTGACGACATGAACTCTAAAATGAAATAGTTACATTAGAAAGATCAATTAACATAACAAAACATAAGACCCATGGGGCGGCGCACAATTGGCCCAGCGTCGTCCAGGGTATGGGAGGGAATGGCCGGCAGGGACGTAGCTCAGTTGGTAGAGCATGGCGTTTGCAACCCCAGGGTTGTGGGTTCGATTCCCACGATTCTCACTAACTGTAAGTGGCTCTGGATAAGAGCGTCTGATAAATGACTAACATGTAAATGTAAAATAAGTGACTAAACAACATTGTGAGGAGGGAGGCCTTTTAAAATCAATGATCTGATGCAGCGCGCCCGCCATGTACGCCATCAGGGAATACTAACACCAATTTCAATATAAATGTTCTGTTGGTCTGTAACTGGTACCTCAAATCCCCCAACGACCAGCAAAGCCTGGATTTTAAACTTGTTGATGGTGTCCACTATCTTCTCCATGCAAGTACTGGGGAGGGTTCTGTAGAACACAAAGGCAGACTGAGAATACACAGTTTCCCAAACACAATTCAGGAGGACATCTTCCTATTTTGAAAAAGGGGCACACCAATAACCACATTGAATACAAACTACCAACTGATTTCCCCCTATTCGTCATTCTAAACAACAGACCTTTTAGTCCCCAGAAGAGATCCACCCTGGCCAGTCCATCCAGCCACACTGTGCCACTCCATCTCTGTCACCTGGTAGAGGAAGAACACACGCCAGTCAATATCTTTATTGTCCAAATTTGAAAAATGTGCAGTCAGGATTGTCACAGTTATCACCACATGGATTATCACATTGTCATTTTGAATTCCGAAAAGTGAGTGTGGAAGAAGTGAACAAATGATTGTTGTCTATCAACAGTGACAAGCCACCGGGGTCTGACAACTTGGATGGAAAATTACTGAGGATAATAGCGGACGATATTGCCACTCCTATTTGCCATATCTTCAATCTAAGCCTACTAGAAAGTGTGTGCCCCTAGGCTTGGAGGGAAGCAAAAGTCATTCCCCTACCTAAGAATAGTAAAGCCCCCTTTACTGGCTCAAATAGCCGACCAATCAGCCTGTTACCAACCCTTAGTAAACTATTGGGGAAAAAATTGTTTGACCAGATACAATGCTATTTTACAGTAAACAAATTGACAACAGACTTTGAGCACACTTATAGAAGCATTGTATTTGGGACAAATCATTCACTAAACCTCAACTAAATCTTGTAATAAATAATGTGTAAATTGACCATGTTGATGTGACTAAATTGCTTGGAGTAACCCTGGATTGTAAACTGTCATAGTCAAAACATATTGATACAACAGTAGCTAAGATGGGGAGAAGTCTGTCCATAATAAAGCGCTCCTCTACCTTCTTAACAGCACTATCAACAAGGCAGGTCCTACAGGCCCTAGTTTTGTCACACCTGGACTACTGTTCAGTCTTGTGGTCAGGTGCCACAAAAAAGGACTTAGGAAAATTACAATTGGCTCAGAACAGGGCAGCACGGCTGGCCCTTAAATGTACATGGAGAGCTAATATTAATGACATGCATGTCAATCTCTCATGGCTCAAAGTGGAGGAGAGATTGACTTCATCATTACTCGTTTTTGTAAGAAGTGTTGACAAGCTGAATGAACCGAACTGTCTGTTTGAACGACTGGCGCACAGCTCGGACACCCATGCATACCCCACAAGACATGCCACCAGAGGTCTCTTCAAACCCCAAGTCAAAAGTCTACAGGAGGGACACAGTCCTACAAAGAGAAAATGGAAAGAATATGGCACCACAACAAACCTGCCAAGAGTGGGCCGCCCACCAAAACTCACAGACCAGGCAAGGAGGGCATTAATCAAAGATACCAAAGATAACCCTGAAGGAGCTGCAAAGCTCCACAGCGGAGATTAGAGTATCTGTCCATAGGACCACTTTATGCCGTACAATCCACAGAGCTGGGCTTTACGGAAGAGTGGCCAGAAAAAATAAGCAAACAGGTTTGGTGTTCGCCAAAAGCCATGTGGGAGACTTCCCAAACATATGGAAGAAGGTACTCTGGTCAGATGAGACTAAAATTGAGCTTTTTGGCCATCAAGGAAAACGCTATGTCTGGCGCAAACCCAACACCTCTCATCACTCCATCCCCACAGTAAAGCATGGTGGTGGCAGCATCATGCTGTGGGGATGTTTTTCATCGGCAGGGACTGGGAAACTGGTCAGAATTGAAGGAATGATGGATGGCGCTAAATACAGGGGAATTCTAGAGGGAAACCTGTTTCAGTCTCCTAGAGATTTGAGACTGGGACGGAGTTTCACCTTCCAGCAGGACAATTACCCTAAAGCAACACTCAAGCGGTTTAAGGGGAAACATTTAAATGTCTTGGAATGACCTAGTCAAAGCCCAGACCTCAATCCAATTGAGAATCTGTGGTATGACTTAAAGATTGCTGTACACCAGCGGAACCCATCCAACTTGAAGGAGCTGGAGCAGTTTTGCCAGTGGCTAGATGTGCCAAGCTTATAAAGACATACCCCAAGAGACTTGCAGCTGTAATTGCTGCAAAAGGTGACTCTACAAAGTATTGACTTTGCGGGGGTGAATAGTTATGCACGCTCAAGTTCTCTGTTATTTTGTCTAATTTCTTGTTTGTTTCACACATTTTTTTTTTAAATACACTGCTCAAAGAAATAAAGGGAACACTTAAACAACACAATGTAACTCCAAGTCAATCACACTTCTGTGAAATCAAACTGTCCACTTAGGAAGCAACACTGATTGACAATAAATTTCACATGCTGTTGTGCAAATGGAATAGACAACAGGTGGAAATTATAGGCAATTAGCAAGACACCCCCAATAAAGGACTGGTTTTGCAGGTGGTGACCACAGACCACTTCTCAGTTCCTATGTTTCCTGGCTGATGTTTTGGTCACTTTTGAATGCTGGCGGTGCTTTCACTCTAGTGGTAGCATGAGACGGAGTCTACAACCCACACAAGTGGCTCAGGTAGTGCAGCTCATCCAGGATGGCACATCAATGCGAGCTGTGGCAAGAAGGTTTGCTGTGTCTGTCAGCGTAGTGTCCAGAGCATGGAAGCGCTACCAGGAGACAGGCCAGTACATCAGGAGACGTGGAGGAGGCCGTAGGAGGGCAACAACCCAGCAGCAGGACTGCTACCTCCGCCTTTGTGCAAGGAGGAGCACTGCCAGAGCCCTGCAAATGACCTCCAGCAGGCCACAAATGTGCATGTGTCTGCTCAAACAGTCAGAAACAGACTCCATGAGGGTGGTATGAGGGCCCGACGTCCACAGGTGGGGGTTGTGCTTACAGCCCAACACCGTGCAGGACGTTTGGCATTTGCCAGAGAACACCAAGATTGGCAAATTTGCCACTGGCGCCCTGTGCTCTTCACAGATGAAAGCATGTTCACACTGAGCACATGTGACAGACGTGACAGAGTCTGGAGACGCCGTGGAGAACGTTCTGCTGCCTGCACCATCCTCCAGCATGACCGGTTTGGCGGTGGGTCAGTCATGGTGTGGGGTGGCATTTCTTTGGGGGGCCGCACAGCCCTCCATGTGCTCGCCAGAGGTAGCCTGACTGCCATTAGGTACCGAGATGAGATCCTCAGACCCCTTGTGAGACCATATGCTGGTGCGGTTGGCCCTGGGTTCCTCCTAATGCAAGACAATGCTAGACCTCATGTGGCTGGAGTGTGTCAGCAGTTCCTTCAAGAGGAAGGCATTAATGCTATGGACTGGCCCGCCCGTTCACCAGACCTGAATCCAATTGAGCACATCTGGGACATCATGTCTCGCTCCATCCACCAACGCCACGTTGCACCACAGACTGTCCAGGAGTTGGCGGATGCTTTAGTCCAGGTCTGGGAGGAGATCCCTCAGGAGACCATCCGCCACCTCATCAGGAGCATGCCCAGGTGTTGTAGGGAGGTCATACAGGCACGTGGAGGCCACACACACTACTGAGCCTCATTTTGACTTGTTTTAAGGCCATTACATCAAAGTTGGATCAGCCTGTAGTGTGGTTTTCCACTTTAATTTTGAGGGTGACTCCAAATCCAGACCTCCATGGGTTGATACATTTGATTTCCATTGATCATTTTTGTGTGATTTTGTTGTCAGCACATTCAACTATGTAAAGAAAATAGTATTTAATAAGATTATTTCATTCATTCAGATCTAGGATGTGTTATTTTAGTGTTCCCTTTATTTTTTTGAGCAGTATATATATATATATATTTTTTTTTTTCAGGTTGTAAGGCAACAAAATAGGAAAAATGCCAAGGAGGGTGAATACTTTCGCAAGCCACTGTACACATGGGTGTTGTATTGTAGATATGTGATAGTAGAGTAGTGGTCTGAGGGAACACACTACATGTATTCTGAAAAGGGTTATGAAATGTCATGTAATATTTTTTACTGTATATAACTGCTTTGATGTTGCTGGACCCCAGGAAGACTAGAGGATCCTTAATAAATACAAATCACCACATGGATTATCACCACATGGATTATCACCACATGGATTATCACCACATGGATTATCACCACATGGATTATCACCACATGGATTATTATATCATGTTACATTAAGAGAATATACTGGGATAATACTGCTGAATCAATCTACTCTCTCTCTCTTCATCCATTAGTGTTGTATCTTAAGGAGAATATATCCTCACCGCTCCATTGGCCAGCCCCTCGAAGCCGTCGTTGACAGAGTAGACCTTGTGACCGTAGGCCAGCGCAACTCTGACAGCCGACCGGACCGCTGCATTCATCCCTGCTGCTGGAGCACCCACATTCAGCACCGCTAGCGTGTGGTCGCTCTGAAGAGAGATGGGAGGAGTCTACAGCCAGCCATGTCATGGGGAGTCATGTCTCTCTGAAGAGAGATGGGAGGAGTCTACAGCCAGCCATGTCATGGGAGTCATGTCTCTCTGAAGAGAGACGGGAGGAGTCTACAGCCAGCCATGTCATGGGGAGTCATGTCTCTCTGAAGAGAGATGGGAGGAGTCTACAGCCAGCCATGTCATGGGGAGTCATGTCTCTCTGAAGAGAGATGGGAGGAGTCTACAGCCAGCCATGTCATGGGGAGTCATGTCTCTCTGAAGAGAGATGGGAGGAGTCTACAGCCAGTCATGTCATGGGAGTCATGTCTCTCTGAAGAGAGATGGGAGGAGTCTACAGCCAGCCATGTCATGGGGAGTCATGTCTCTCTGAAGAGAGATGGGAGGAGTCTACAGCCAGCCATGTCATGGGAGTCATGTCTCTCTGAAGAGAGATGGGAGGAGTCTACAGCCAGCCATGTCATGGGAGTCATGTCTCTCTGAAGAGAGATGGGAGGAGTCTACAGCCAGCCATGGGAGTCATGTCTCTCTGAAGAGAGATGGGAGGAGTCTACAGCCAGCCATGTCACGGGAGTCATGTCTCTCTGAAGAGAGACTGGAGGAGTCTACAGCCAGCCATGTCATGGGGAGTCATGTCTCTCTGAAGAGAGATGGGAGGAGTCTACAGCCAGCCATGTCACGGGAGTCATGTCTCTCTGAAGAGAGACTGGAGGAGTCTACAGCCAGCCATGTCATGGGGAGTCATGTCTCTCTGAAGAGAGATGGGAGGAGTCTACAGCCAGCCATGTCATGGGAGTCATGTCTCTCTGAAGAGAGATGGGAGGAGTCTACAGCCAGCCATGTCATGGGGAGTCATGTCTCTCTGAAGAGAGATGGGAGGAGTCTACAGCCAGCCATGTCATGGGAGTCATGTCTCTCTGAAGAGAGATGGGAGGAGTCTACAGCCAGCCATGTCATGGGAGTCATGTCTCTCTGAAGAGAGATGGGAGGAGTCTACAGCCAGCCATGTCATGGGGAGTCATGTCTCTCTGAAGAGAGATGGGAGGAGTCTACAGCCAGCCATGTCATGGGAGTCATGTCTCTCTGAAGAGAGATGGGAGGAGTCTACAGCCAGCCATGTCATGGGAGTCATGTCTCTCTGAAGAGAGATGGGAGGAGTCTACAGCCAGCCATGGGAGTCATGTCTCTCTGAAGAGAGATGGGAGGAGTCTACAGCCAGCCATGGGGAGTCATGTCTCTCTGAAGAGAGATGGGAGGAGTCTACAGCCAGCCATGTCATGGGAGTCATGTGTCTCAGTTTATTTTAAGGCAGTGTTACCTTGGTAACGGCAGGCTTCTGGAAGGCAAGCAGTCTGTACATGTTCCAGTTGTTCTCAAAGCTCCTAACAATGAAAATATATTAATCAGAAAACATATATAAAAATGTTCATTATATTATATTTACATACATACTTCATTATATATATAATATTATAAATGATATGATATATATATATATATAATATATAATATATTAGTATATATATATATTATTATAATATATATATAAACTCAGCAAAAAGAAACGTCCCTTTTTCAGGACCCTGTCTTTCAAAGATGATTCATAAAAATCCAAATAACTTCACAGATCTTCATTGTAAAGGGTTTAAACACTGTTTCCCATGCTTGTTCAATGAACCATAAACAATTAATGTACATGCACCTGTGGAACGGTCGTTAAGACACTAACAGCTTACAGACGGTAGGCAATTAAGGTCACAGTTATGAAAACTTAGGACACTAAAGAGGCCTTTCTACTGACTCTGAAAAACACCAAAAGAAAGATGCCCAGGGTCCCTGCTCATCTGCGTGAACGTGCCTTAGGCATGCTGCAAGGAGGCGTGAGGACTGCAGATGTGGCCGGGGCAATAAATTGCAATGTCTGTACTGTGAGACGCCTAAGACAGCGCTACAGGGAGACAGGACGGACAGCTGATCGTCCTCGCAGTGGCAGACCACGTGTAACAACACCTGCACAGGATCGGTACATCCGAACATCACACCTGTGGGACAGGTACAGGATGGCAACAACAACTGCCTGAGTTACACCAGGAACGCAAAATCCCTCCATCAGTGCTCAGACTGTCCGCAATAGGCTGAGAGAGGCTGGACTGAGGCCTTGTAGGCCTGTTGTAAGGCAGGTCCCTCACCAGACATCACCGGCAACAACGTTGCCTATGGGCACAAACCCACCGTCGCTGGTCCAGACAGGACTGGCAAAAAGTGCTCTTACATTTACATTTTAGTCATTTAGCAGACGCTCTTATCCAGAGCGACTTACAGTTAGTTAGTGCATTCATTATTATTATTTTTTGTTTTTCATAATGGCCCCCCGTGGGAATCGAACCCACAACCCTGGCGTTGCAAATGCCATGCTCTACCAACTGAGCTACATCCCTGCCGGCCATTCCCTCCCCTACCCTGGACGACGCTGGGCCAATTGTGCGGCGCCCCATGGGTCTCCCGGTCGCAGCCGGCTACAACAGAGCCTGGATTCGAACCAGGATCTCTAGTGGCACAGCTAGCACTGCGATACAGTGCCTTAGACCACTGCGCCACTCGGGTCGCGGTTTTGTCTCACCAGGGGTGATGGTCGGATTCGCGTTTATCGTCGAAGGAATGAGCGCTACACCGAGGCCTGTACTCTGTCATGGTCTGGGGCGGTGTGTCACAGCATCATTGGTCTGAGTTTGTTGTCATTGCAGGCAATCTCAACGCTGTGCATTACAGGGAAGACATCCTCCTCCCTCATGTGGTACCCTTCCTGCAGGCTCATCCTGACATGACCCTCCAGCATGACAATGCCACCAACCATACTGCTCGTTCTGTGCGTGATTTCCTGCAAGACAGGAATGTCAGTGTTCTGCCATGGCCAGCGAAGAGCCCGGATCTCAATCCCATTGAGCACGTCTGGGACCTGTTGTAGCGGAGGGTGAGGGCTAGGGCCATTCCCCCCAGAAATGTCCAGGAACTTGCAGGTGCCTTGGTGGAAGAGTGGGGTAACATCTCACAGCAAGAACTGGCAAATCAGGTGCAGTCCATGAGGAGGAGATGCACTGCAGTACTTAATGCAGCTGGTGGCCACACCAGATACTGACTGTTACTTTTGATTTTGACCCCCCCTTTGTTCAGGGACACATTATTCCATTTCTGTTAGTCACATGTCTGTGGAACTTGTTCAGTTTATGTCTCAGTTGTTGAATCTTGTTATGTTCATACAAATATTTACACATGTTAAGTTTGCTGAAAATAAACGCAGTTGACAGTGAGAGGACGTTTCTTTTTTTGCTGAGTATATATATACAGTGGGGAGAACAAGTATTTGATACACTGCCGATTTTGCAGGTTTTCCTACTTACAAAGCATGTAGAGGTCTGTAGACGGAATCTAAAACAAAAATCCAGAAAATCACATTGTATGATTTTTAAGTAAATAATTTGCATTTTATTGCATGACATAAGTATTTGATCACCTACCAACCAGTAAGAATTCCGGCTCTCACAGACCTGTTCGTTTTTCTTTAAGAAGCCCTCCTGTTCTCCACTCATTACCTGTATTAACTGCACCTGTTTGAACTCGTTACCTGTATAAAAGACACCTGTCCACACACTCAATCAAACAGACTCCAACCTCTCCACAATGGCCAAGATCAGAGAGCTGTGTAAGGACATCAGGGATAAAATTGTAGACCTGCACAAGGCTGGGATGGGCTACAGGACAATAGGCAAGCAGCTTGGTGAGAAGGAAACAACTGTTGGCGCAATTATTAGAAAATTGAAGAAGTTCAAGATGACGGTCAATCACACTCGGTCTAGGGCTCCATGCAAGATCTCACCTCGTGGGGCATCAATGATCATGAGGAAGGTGAGGGATCAGCCCAGAACTACACGGCAGGACCTGGTCAATGACCTGAAGAGAGCTGGGACCACAGTCTCAAAGAAAACCATTAGTAACACACTACGCCGTCATGGATTAAAATCCTGCAGCGCACGCAAGGTCCCCCTGCTCAAGCCAGCGCATGTCCAGGCCCGTCTGAAGTTTGCCAATGACCATCTGGATGATCCAGAGGAGGAATGAGAGAAGGTCATGTGGTCTGATGAGACAAAAATAGAGCTTTTTGGTCTAAACTCCACTCGTCGTGTTTGGAGGAAGAAGAAGGATGAGTACAACCGCAAGAACACCATCCCAACCGTGAAGCATGGAGGTGGAAACATCCTTCTTTAGGGATGCTTTTCTGCAAAGGGGACAGGACGACTGCACCGTATTGAGGGGAGGATGGATGGGGCCATGTATTGCGAGATCTTGGCCAACAACCTCCTTCCCTCAGTAAGAGCATTGAAGATGGGTCGTGGCTGGGCCTTCCAGCATGACAACGACCCGAAACACACAGCTAGGGCAACTAAGGAGTGGCTCCGTAAGAAGTATCTCAAGGTCCTGGAGTGGCCTAGCCAGTCTCCAGACCTGAACCCAATAGAAAATCTTTGGAGGGAGCTGAAAGTCCGTATTGCCCAGCGACAGCTCCGAAACCTGAAGGATTTGGAGAAGGTCTGTATGGAGGAGTGGGCCAAAATCCCTGCTGCAGTGTGTGCAGACCTCGTCAAGACCTACAGGAAACGCATGATCTCTGTAATTGCAAACAAAGGTTTCTGTACCAAATATTAAGTTCTGCTTTTCTGATGTATCAAATACTTATGTCATGCAATAAAATGCAAATTAATTACTTATAAATCATACAATGTGATTTTCTGGATATTTGTTTTTGATTCCGTCTCTCACAGTTGAAGTGTACCTATGATAAAAATTACAGACCTCTACATGCTTTGTAAGTAGGAAAACCTGCAAAATCGTCAGTGTATCAAATACCTGTTCTCCCCACTGAATGAATGAATGAATGAATGAATGAATGTATGTATGTATGTATGTATGTATGTATGTATGTATGTATGTATGTATGTATGTATGTATGTATGTATGTATGTATGTATGTATGTATGTATATATATATATATACACATACATACATACACACACTACCGTTCAAAGGTTTGGGGTCACTTAGAGAAATGTCCTTGTTTTCGAAAGAAAACTGTTGTACTGATTAAAGAAGCAATAAAACTGGCCTTCTTGAGACAGATTTCCAGCTACAATAGCCATTTACAACATTAACAATGTCTACACTGTATTTCTGATCAATTTGATGTTATTTTAATGGACAAAAAAATGGCTTTTCTTTCGAAAACAAGGACATTTCTAAGTGACCTCAAACTTTTGAACGGTTGTGTGTATATATATATATATATACACACACACACACACACACACACACACACACACACACACACACACACACAGTACCAGTCAAAAGTTTGGACACACCTACTCATTCAAGGGTTTTTCTTTATTTTTACTATTTTTTACATTGTAGAATAATAGTGAAGACATCAAAACTATGAAATAACACATGGAATCATGTAGTAACCAAAACAGTGTTAAACAAATCAAAATATATTTTATATTTGAGATTCCTCAAATAGCCACACTTTGCCTTGATGACAGCTTTGCGCACGCTTGGCATTCTCTCAACCAGCTTCATGAGGTAGTAACCTGGAATGCATTTCAATTAACAGGTGTGTCTTTTAAAAGTTAATTTGTGGAATTTCTTTCCTTCTTAATGCGTTTGAGCTAATCAGTTGTGTTGTGACAAGGTGGGGGGTATACAGAAGATAGCCCTATTTGGTAAAAGACCAAGTCCATATTATGGCAAGAACAGCTCAAATAAGCAAAGAGAAACAATAGTCCATCATCACTTTAAGACATGAAGGTCAGTCAATACGGAACATTTCATGAACTTTGAAAGTTTCTTCAAGTGCAGTCGCAAAAACCATCAAGCGCTATGATGAAACTGGCTCTCATGAGGACCGCCACAGGAATGGAAGACCCAGAGTTACCTCTGCTGCAGAGGATAAGTTCATTAGAGTTACCAGCCTCAGAAATTGCAGCCCAAATAAATGCTTCACAGAGTTCAAGTCACAGACACATCTCAACATCAACTGTTCAGAGGGGACTGTGTGAGAATCAGGCCTTCATGGTCGAATTGCTGCAAAGAAACCACTACTAAAGGAAACCAATAATAAGAAGAGACCTGCTTGGGCCAAGAAACACGAGCAATGGACATTAGACTGGTGGAAATGTGTCCCTTGGTCTGGAGTCCAAATTTGAGATTTTTGGTTCCAAACGCTGTGTCTTTGTGAGACGCGGTGTGGGTGAACGGATGATCTCCGCATGTGTAGTTCCCACCGTGAAGCATGGAGGAGGAGGTGTTATGTTGTGGGGGTGCTTTGCTGGTGACACTGTCTGTGATTTATTTAGAATTCAAGGCACACTTAACCAGCGTGGCTACCACAGCATTCTGCAGCGATACGCCATCACATCTGGTTTGGACTTAGTGGGACTATCATTCGTTTATCAACAGGACAATGACCCAACACACCTCCAGGCTGTGTAAGGGCTTTTTTACCAAGAAGGAGAGTGATGGAGTGCTGCATCAGATGACCTGACCTCCACAATCCCCCGACCTCAAACCAATTGAGATGTTTTGGGATAAGTTGGACCGCAGAGTGAAGGAAAAGCAGCCAACAAGTGCTCAGCATATGTGGGAACTCCTTCAAGACTGTTGGAAAAGCATTCATTGACCTATTTTCAATGCCCTGGCTGAGGGAAGGAGGTTTATTTGAACAGTGAGAGACAGAATAACAACAAAAATATCCAGAAAAACACATGTCAAAAATGTTATAAATTGATTTGCATTTTAATGAGGGAAATAAGTATTTGACCCCCTCTAAATCAGATAGATTTCTGGCTCCCAGGTGTCTTTTATACAGGTAACGAGCTGAGATTAGGAGCACACTCTTAAAGGGAGTGCTCCTAATCTCAGCTTGTTACCTGTATAAAAGACACCTGTCCACAGAAGCAATCAATCAATCAGATTCCAAACTCTTCACCATGGCCAAGACAAAGAGCTCTCCAAGGATGTCAGGGACAAGATTGTAGACCTACACAAGGCTGGAATGGGCTACAAGACTATCGCCAAGCAGCTTGGTGAGAAGGTGACAACAGTTGGTGCGATTATTCGCAAATGGGAGAAACACAAAAGAACTGTCAATCTCCCTCGGCCTGGGGCTCCATGCAAGATCTCACCTCGTGGAGATGCAATGATCATGAGAACGGTGAGGAATCAGCCCAGAACTACACGAGAGGATCTTGTCAATGATCTCAAGGCAGCTGGGACCATAGTCACCAAGAAAACAATTGGTAACACACTACACCGTGAAGGACTGAAATCCTGCAGCGCCCGCAAGGTCCCCCTGCGCAAGAAAGCACATATACATGCCCGTCTGAAGTTTGCCAATGAACATCTGAATGATTCAGAGGAGAACTGGGTGAAAGTGTTGTGGTCAGTTGAGACCAAAATGGAGCTCTTTGGCATCAACTCAACTCGCCGTGTTGGGAGGAGGAGGAATGCTGCCTATGACCCCAAGAACACCATCCCCACCGTCAAACATGGAGTTGGAAACATTATGCTTTGGGGGTGTTTTTCTGCTAAGGGGACAGGACAACTTCACCGCATCAAAAGGACGATGGACGGGGCCATGTTCCGTCAAATCTTGGGTGAGAACCTCCTTCCCTCAGCCAGGGCATTGAAAATGGGTTGTGGATGGGTATTCCAGCATGATAATGACCCAAAACACACAGCCAAGGCAACAAAGGAGTGGATCAAGAAGAAGCACATTAAGGTCCTGGAGTGGCCTAGCCAGTCTCCAGACCTTAATCCCATAGAAAATCTGTGGAGGGAGCTGAAGGTTCGAGTTGCCAAACGTCAGCCTCCAAACCTTAATGACTTGGAGAAGATCTGCAAAGAGGAGTGGGACAAAATCCCTCCTGAGATGCGTGCAAACCTGGTGGGCAACTACAAGAAACGTCTGACCTCTGTGATTGCCAACAAGGGTTTTGCCACCAAGTACTAAGTCATGTTTTGCAGAGGGGTCAAATACTTACTTCCCTCATTAAAATGCAAATCAATTTCTAACATTTTTGACATGCGTTTCTCTGGATTGTTGTTGTTGTTATTCTGTCTCTCACTGTTCAAATAAACCTACCATTAAAATTATAGACTGATCATGTCTTTGTCAGTGGGCAAACGTACAAAATCAGCAGGGGATCAAATACTTTTTTCCCCTCACTGTATATTTTGATTTGTTTAATACTTTTTTGGTTACTACATGATTCCATGTGTTATTTCATAGTTTTGATGTCTTCACTATTATTCTACAATGTAAAACAATAGTAAAAATAAAGAAAAGCCCTGGAATGAGTAGGTGTGTCCAAACATTTGACTGGTGTATATCATATTCATAAGATATTTGACATCTCTAACCTTCCTCTCAGTTGGATGGCTTCATCAAACCTCTTTTCATTCATGGCCTTCTGAACCTCTTTAGTCTACAGGCAAGACACACATCATATAATCATACCATCATCAGAATTCCATTTGTGCAAATCCCTCTCACAACCTCCCTCAAACTGTATTGCTCTGTTGCAGAGTTTGAGAGAGGAACTGTGAAAGGGATTAGATTTACAGACAGAACACATTCAGGACTGTTTATTGTCAGGATAATTTTCTTAGTGGTTTGTCAGTTCTGGAACAGGAAGTTACCTCACCATCTGTACACCCTCCATAAGAGGCAGGCGGATAGCCTGGTTTCCTGACAGGCCGATGACACAGGCTGGGGTCTCTGGAGTGGCCTCTAACAGAGCGACTACTGCCTCCACTCCGATCTTACTGCTCTGTGGAATAACAACCAGGAGGTGCTGGTGAGTACAGGGCACAGGGGAGGCCCGTAGGCCTTTGGACTTTTGAACACCTGTAACTGCGGTTGCCTGCAATCTAGAGCCTTAAATGATAACAAATAAAATAACAAATAAAAACATGTATTATTATTATTTTTTCAGTATATTTATTACGTAGTGGCGCACCAGTCCACAAGCTGGCACAGTCCCACCCTGCATTCACTATGGCACCCTCTGGCAAACACCACCCTACTCCAATATGAACCAAACACCACCCTACTCCAATATGAAGTCTACCATCCTGGCACCGGCGAAGATGGCGGCCTCGCAACTAGCTCTTAGGAAACTTTGCGGTATTTTGTTTTTTTTATGTATTATATTTTACATTATTAGCTCAGAAAGTGTTTTGTATCATTACATACAGCCGGGGAAAACTATTGGATATCAGAGCGGCGGTAACTCACCAGCATTACGACCAGGAATACGACTTTCCCAAAGCAGATCCTTTGTTTGCTCTCCCCAGGGCAACTGAACTGATTCCAGCGGCTGACCCAAAACATCGCCGGCGGAGGAGAGGCACTCGGAGCGGCCTGCTGGTTCGACTTAGGAGGCGCGCACACCACCCACCGCTTCCAAGTATACTACTCGCTAACGTTCAGTCTTTGGATAACAAGGTTGACGAGCTCCGGGCAAGGATTTCTTTCCAGAGAGACATCAAGGCCTGTAACATACTTTGTTTCACGGAAACATGGCTCTCCTGGGATATTCTGTCGAAATCGGTCCAGCCAGAGTGGTTCTCAGTTCATCGCACAGACAGGAATAAATATCTCTCCGGGAAGCAGAAGGGCGGAGGTGTGTGTTTCATGATTAACGACTCATGGTGTAATTGTAGTAACATACAGGAACTCAAGTCCACCTGTTCACCCGACCTAGAATACCTCACAATCAAATGCCGACCGTATTATCTCCCAAGATAATTATCTTTGGTTATAGTCACGGCCGTGTATATCCCCCCTCAAGCCGATACCACGACGGCCCTCAAAGAACTTCACTGGACCTTATGCAAACTGGAAACCACATATCCTGAGGCTGCATTTATTGTAGCCGGGGATTTTAACAAAGCAAATTTGAGCACTAGGCTGCCGAAGTTCTATCAACATATCGACTGTTGTACACGGGCTGCTAAAATCCTCTACCATTGCTATTCGAACTTCCGGGATGGTTATAAGGCCCTCCCCCGCCCTCCTTTTCACAAATCTGACCACAACTCCATTTTGCTCCTCCCTTCCTATAGGCAGAAACTCAAACAGGAAGTACCCGTGCTAAGGACTATTCAACGCTGGTCTGACCAATCGGAATCCACGCTTCAAGATTGTTTTGATCACGTGGACTGGGATATGTTCCGGGTAGCTTGCGAAATAATTTAGACGTATACACTGAAACGGTGACTGAGTTTATCAGGAAGTGTATAGGTGATGTTGTGCCCACTGTGACTATTAAAACCTACCCTAACCAGAAACCGTGGATAGATGGCAGCATTTGCGCAAAACTGAAAGCGCGAACCACCGTTTTTAACCATTGCAAGTTGACTGGGAATATGGCAGAATACAAACAGTGTAGCTACTCACTCCGCAAGGCATTTAAACTGGCAAAACATCAGTACAAAGACAAAGTGGAGTCGCAATTCAACGGCTCAGACACGAGACGTATGTGGCAGGGTTTACAGCCAAGTTCCTTGGCATACAAATCACTGACAAACTGAAATGGTCCACCCACGCAGACAGTGTGGTGAAGAAGGCGCAACAGCACCTCTTCAACCTCAGGAGGCTGAAGAAATTCAGCTTGGCACCTAAAACCCTCAAACTTTTACAGATGCACAGTTGAGAGCATCCTATTGGGCTGTATCGCCGCCTGGTACGGCAACTGCACCGCCCGCAACCGCAGGGCTCTCCAGAGGGTGGTGCGGTCTGCCCAACGCATCACCGGGGGCAAACTACCAGCCCTCCAGGACACCTATAAAACCCGATGTCACAGGAAGGCCAAAAATATCATCAAGGACATCAACCACCCGAGCCACTGCCTGTCCACCCCGCTATCATCCAGAAGGCGAGGTCAGTACAGGTGCATCAAATCTGGGACTAAGAGAATGAAAAACAGCTTCTATCTCAAGGCCATCAGACTGTTAAATAGCCATCACTAGCACATTAGAGGCTGCTGCTGTCTATTGAAATCACTGGCCACTTTAAGAAATGGAACACTAGTCACTTTAATAATGTTTACATATCTTGCATTCCTCATCTCATATGTATATACTGCATTCTATTCTATAATATTCTACTGTATCTTAGTCCATGCCGCTCTGTCATTGCTCGTCCATATATGTATATATTCTTAAATTCCATTCCTTAATAGTTTTGTGTGTATTGGGTATATTTTGTGAAATTGTTAGATCTTACTTGTTAGATATTACTGCACTGTCGGAGCTAGAAGCACAAGCATTTCGCTACACCCGCTATATAATCTGCTAAACACGTGAATGTGACAAATAATATTTGATTTGATCCAGAAGTGAAGTCTAGGGAGTGTTAGACAGGTGTATGAAGCGTTAAGGAGCCAAATCATGTCCTGTAACTCACCAGCACCCTGTCGAAGGCCGAGGGTGTCCCCCCTCTCTGTACATGACCTAGGACAGTGACCCGGGTGTCATAACCCAGCCTCTTCACCACCAGCTACAGATGGAGACATAAGACAGAGAGACAGTCAGACAGTAGGGAATAGACAGAGACAGTCAGCCAGTCAGACAGTAGGGAATAGACAGAGACAGTCAGCCAGCCAGTCAGGGAATAGACAGAGACAGTCAGCCAGTCAGCCAGTAGGGAATAGACAGAGACAGTCAGCCAGTCAGCCAGTAGGGAATAGACAGAGACAGTCAGCCAGTAGGGAATAGACAGAGACAGTCAGCCAGTCAGCCAGTAGGGAATAGACAGAGACAGTCAGCCAGTCAGTCAGGGAATAGACAGAGAGACAGTCAGCCAGTAGGGAATAGACAGAGACAGTCAGCCAGTCAGACAGTAGGGAATAGACAGAGACAGTCAGCCAGTCAGCCAGTAGGGAATAGACAGAGACAGTCAGCCAGTCAGCCAGTAGGGAATAGACAGAGACAGTCAGCCAGTAGGGAATAGACAGAGACAGTCAGCCAGTCAGACAGTAGGGAATAGACAGAGACAGTCAGCCAGTCAGCCAGTAGGGAATAGACAGAGACAGTCAGCCAGTCAGCCAGTAGGGAATAGACAGAGACAGTCAGCCAGTCAGCCAGTAGGGAATAGACAGAGACAGTCAGCCAGTCAGTCAGGGAATAGACAGAGAGACAGTCAGCCAGTCAGCCAGTAGGGAATAGACAGAGACAGTCAGCCAGTCAGCCAGTAGGGAATAGACAGAGACAGTCAGCCAGTCAGTCAGGGAATAGACAGAGAGACAGTCAGCCAGTCAGCCAGTAGGGAATAGACAGAGACAGTCAGCCAGCCAGTCAGTAGGGAATAGACATGGAGAGAGGAGCAGTCAGACAGCCAGCCAGGGAATTGACATGGCGACATGGAGAGAGGAGCAGTCAGCAAAGGGAACACAGATGTTTATACAGTCATGGGTGCATCCCAAATGGCACCCTATTCCCTATATAGTGCACTACTTTAGACCAGAGAATGGCACCCTGTTCCCTATATAGTGCACTACAAAGGGAACAGGGTGACATTTGGGACCCATTCATATTCATAGTCCCACACTGTGATTAACATTGATGCAGTTTATCAGGGTTTCATATAAAGACAGAGGAACATAGAATGAGCTGGTTAAAATACGCACATCCTTGACGTAGCTTGAAGATATGGGTTCACCAGCTCTGTTGATGGCCCCTTCAGCGATGATCACAATGTTCAGCCTGGAGCCCTTACTGCGACTCTGCACACACACACACACATCCCACACACACATCATACTAATGTATTAATGACACTATGCACACACACACACACATCATACTAATGTATTAATGACACTATGCACACACACACACATCATACTAATGTATTAATGACACTATGCACACACACACACACACACATCATACTAATGTATTAATTACACTATGCACACACACACACACACACACTACACCAGTGTCTTTCAGTGTATTTGGCTCGTATAGCATATAACAGAACATAGAACAGAACCTAGAATAGAACAGAATATAGAACAGAATATAGAACAGAACAGAATATAGAACAGAACAGAATATAGAATAGAACAGAATATAGAACAGAACATAGAACACAATATAGAACAGAACACAATATAGAACAGAACAGAATATAGAACACAATATAGAATATAGAACAGAACATAGAACACAATATAGAATATAGAACAGAACATAGAACACAATATAGAATATAGAACAGAACATAGAACAGAACAGAATATAGAACAGAACACAATATAGAATATAGAACAGAACATAGAACAGAACAGAATATAGAACAGAACAGAATATAGAATATAGAACAGAACATAGAACATAATATAGAACAGAACAGAATATAGAACAGAATATAGTACACAATATAGAACAGAATATAGAACAGAACAGAATATAGAACAGAATATAGAACATAATATACAGTTCTATACTGCGATGCAGTGGTCTAAGGCACTGCATCGCAGTGCTAACTGTGCCACTAGAGATCCTGGTTCGAATCCAGGCTCTGTCGCAGCCGGCCGCGACCGGGAGACCCATGGGCGGCGCACAATTGGCCCAGCGTCGTCCAGGGTAGGGGAGGGAATGGCCGGCAGGGATGTAGCTCAGTTGATAGAGCATAGCGTTTGCAACACCAGGGTTGTGGGTTCGATTCCCACGGGGGGCCAGTATAAAAAAAATAAAAAATATGTATTCACTAACTGTAAGTCGCTCTGGATAAGAGCGTCTGCTAAATGACATGAATGTAAATGTGCTTTTCCCACATTTTGTTACGTTACAGCCTTATTCTAAAATTGATTAAATTGTTTTTTTCCTCATTAATCTACACGCAATGCCCCATAATGACAAAGCAAAAACAGTAAAAAATTAAATAAAAGGAAATGTATTACAAATAAAAAACGGAAATATCACATTTACATAAGTATTCAGACCCTTTACTCAGTACTTTGTTGATGCACCTTTGGCAGCAATTACAGCAGCGAGTCTTCTTGGGTATGACGCTACAAGCTTGGCACACCTGTATGTGGGGAGTTTCTCCCATTCTTCTCTGCAGATCCTCTCAAGCTCTGTCAGGTTGGATGGGGAGCGTCGCTGCACAGCTATTTTCAGGTCTCTCCAGAGATATTCGATCGGGTTCAAGTCCGGGCTCTGGCTGGGCCACTCAAGGACATTCAGAGACTTGTCCCAAAGCCACTCCTGCGTGGTCTTGGCTGTGTGCTTAGGGTCGTTGTCCTGTTGGAAGGTGAGTAGGTTTTCATCAAGGATCTCTCTGTACTTTGCTCCGTTCATCTTTCCCTCGATCCTGACTAGTCTCCCAGTCCCTGCCGCTGAAAAACATCCCCACAGCAGGATGCTACCACCACCATGCTTCACCGTAGGGATGGTGCCAGGTTTCCTCCAGACATGACGATTGGCATTCAGGCCAAAGAGTTCAACCTTGGTTTCATCAGATCAGAGAATCTTGTTTATCATGGTCTGTCAGTCCTTTAGGTGCCTTTTGGCAAACTCCAAGCGGGCTGTCATGTGCCTTTTACTGAGGAGTGGCTTCCGTCTGGCCACTCTACCATAAAGGCCTGATTGGTGGAGCGCTGCAGAGATCGTTGTCCTTCTGGAAGGTTCTCCCATCTCCACAGAGGAACTCTGGAGCTCTGTCAGAGTGACCATCGGGTTCTTGGTCACCTCCCTGACCAAGGCCCTTTTCCCCCGATTACTCAGTTTGGCCGGGCGGCCAGCTCTAGGAAGAGTCTTGGTAGTTCCAAACTTCTTCCATTTAAGAATGATGGAGTCCACTGTGTTCTTGGGGACCTTCAATGCTGTGCCTCGACACAATCCTGTCTCGGAGCTCTATGGACAATTCCTTCGACCTCAGGGCTTGGTTTTTGCACTGACATGCACTGTCAACACTGGGACCTAATACAGACAAGTGTGTGCCTTTCAAAAACATGTCCAATTAATTGAATTTACCACAGGTTGACTCCAATCAAGTTGTAGAAACATCTCAAAGATGATCAATGGAAACAGGTTGCACCTGAGCTCAATTTCGAGTCTCATAGCAAAGGGTCTGAACACTTACGTAAATAAGGTATTTCTATTTTTGTTATTTTTAATAAATTAGCAAAATGTCAAAAAACCTGTTTTCACTTCATTTTTTTATTTATTTAATCAATTTTAGAATAAGCCTGTAACGTAACAAAATGTGGAAAAAGTCAAGGGGTCTGAATACTTTCCAAATGTAGAACAGAAGAGGATAGAATATAAGCTCAACATGTTCTGAGACTGTGAAGATGGTAAATTACCCTTTAATGGTGTCAGACCAAGGCTCTGCATCTGTCCTCATCCTCGACCTTAGTGCTGCTTTGTGGTACTTTTTACCCCTTTTTCTCCCCAATTTCGTGATTTCCAATTGGTAGTTACAGTCTTGTCCCATCGCTGCAACTCCCGTACGGACTCGGGAGAAGCGAAGGTCAAGAGCCGTGCATCCTCCGAAACAACCCTGCCAAGCCACACTGATTCTTGACACACTGATCACTTAACCAGGAAGTCAGCCGCACCAATGTGTCAGAGGAAACACTGTACAGCTGGCGACCGAAGTCTGCGTGCATGCGCCCGGCCCGCCACAAGGAGTCACTAGAGCGAGATGGGACAAGGACATCCCGGGCAACCACACCCTCCCCTAACCCGGACGATGCTGGGCCAATTGTACGCCGCCTCATGGGTCTCCCGGTGGCGGCCGGCTGCGACACAGCCCGGGATCGAACCAAGGCCTTAGACCGCTGCGCCACTCGGGAGGCCCCTTAGCGCTGCTTTTGACACCATCAATCACCACATTCTTTTGGAGAGATTGGAAACCCTAATTGGTCTACACGGGCAAGTTCTTGCCTGGTTTAGATTGTATCTGTCAGAAAGATACAGTGGCTTGCGAAAGTATTCACCCCCCTTGGCATTTGTTCTATTTTGTTGCCTTACAACCTGGAGTTAAAATTGATTTTTGGGGGTTTGTATCATTTGATTTACACGACATGCCTACCACTTTGAAGATGTAAAATAAATAAAAAACTAACTATTCACCCCCCCAAAGTCAATACTTTGTAGAGCCACCTTTTGCAGCAATTACAGCTGCAAGTCTTTTGGGGTATGTCTCTATAAGCTTGGCACATCTAGCCACTGGGATTTTTGCCCATTCTTCAAGGCAAAACTGCTCCAGCTCCTTCAAGTTGGATGGGTTCCGCTGGTGTAAAGCAATCTTTAAGTCATACCACAGATTCTCAATTGGATTGAGGTCTGGGCTTTGACTAGGCCATTCAAATACATTTCAATGTTTCCCCTTAAACCACTTGAGTGTTGCATTAGCAGTATGCTTAGGGTCACTGTCCTGCTGGAAGGTGAACCTCCGTCCCAGTCTCAAATCTCTGGAAGACTGAAACATGTTTCCCTCAAGAATTTCCCTGTATTTAGCACCATCTATCATTCCTTCAATTCTGACCAGTTTCCCAGTCCCTGCCGATGAAAAACATCCCCACAGCATGATGCTGCCACCACCATGCTTAATTGTGGGGATGATGTTCTCGGGGTGATGAGAGGTGTTGGGTTTGCGCCAGACATAGCGTTTTCCTTGATCTCCCACATGCCTTTTGGCAGTCTCCCACACCAAATGTGTTTGCTTATTTTATCTTTAAGCAATGGCTTTTTTCTGGCCACTCTTCCGTAAAGCCCAGCTCTGTGGAGTGTACGGCTTAAAGTGGTCCTATGGACAGATACTCCAATCTCCGCTGTGGAACATTGCAGCTCCTTCAGGGTTATCTTTGGTCTCCTTGTTGCCTCTCTGATTAATGCCCTCCTTGCCTGGTCCGTGAGACTCTGGGGCCTTTCAGAACAGGTGTATGTATACTGAGATCATGTGACACTTAGATTGCACACAGGTGGACTTTATTTAACTAATTATGTGACTTCTGAAGGTAATTGGTTGCACCAGATCTTATTTAGGGGCTTCATAGCAAAGGGGGTGAATTCATATGCACCCACCACTTTTCCATTATATATATATATATTTTTTTAAAGTTATTTTTTTCATTTCACTTCACCAATTTGGACTATTTTGTGTATGTCGATTACATGAAATTACATTAAAATCCATTTCAAATACAGGTTGTAATGCAACAAAATAGGAAAACCCAAAGGGGAATGAATCAGTCTTTGTGGATGGTTCGTCTTCTGACAAATCAATTGTTAGTTCCGGTGTTCCTTAAGGTTCCGTTTTAGGACCACTATTGTTTTCACTACATATTGTACCTTTTGGTGATGTCATTCGGAAACACAATGTCAACTTCCACAGCTATGCGGACGACACACAGCTGTACATTTTGATGAAATGGTGAATCCCCAAAATGGCCCACCCTGGAAGCCTGTGTTTCAGACATAAAGGAAGTGGATGGCGGCAAATGTTTTACTTTTAAACTCAGACAAAACAGAGATGCTAGTTCTAGGTCCCAAGAAACAAAGAGATCTGCTGTTTTATCTAACAATTAATGTTGATGGTTGTCTCAAATAAAACTGTGAAGGACCTCGGCGTTACTCTGGATCCTGATCGCTCTTTTGACGAACATATCAAGAATATTTCAAGGGCAGCTTTTTTCCATCTTTGTAACATTGCAACTTGCTCCTACCTATCTCTCTGATTTGGTCCTGCCGTACATACCTACACGTACGCTACGGTCACAAGACGAGGCCTCCTTATTGTCCCTAGAATTTCTAAGCAAACAGCTGGAGGCAGGGCTTTCTCCTATAGAGCTCCATTTTTATGGAATGGTCTGCCTATCCATGTGAGAGACGCAGATTCGGTCTCGACCTTTAAGTCTTTACTGAAGACTCATCTCTTCAGTAGGTCCTATGATTGAGTGTAGTCTGGCCCAGGGGTGCGAAGGTGAACGGCAAGGCACTGGAGCGACGAACCGCCCTTGCTGTCTCTGCCTGGCCGGCTCCCCTCTCTCCACTGGGATTCTCTGCCTCTGACCCAATCACGGGGGCTGAGTCACTGGCTTACTGGTGCTTTCCATGCCGTCTCTAGGAGGGGTCTGTCACGTCGTGCCAGGGTTTTTTGCGCTACACTCGACTTGAGAGGGTTGAATCACTGACGTGATCTTCCTGTCCGGTCTTGTGCCCCCTCGGGCTTGTGTGGTGAAGGAGGTCTCTGTGGGCTATACTCAGCCTTATCTCAGGGTAGGAAGTTGGTGGTCTGTTGATATCCATCTAGTGGTGTGGGGGATGTGCTTTGGAAACATAGGTGGGGGTATATCCTGCCTGGTTGGCCCTATCCGGGGGTATCGTCGGACGGGGCCACAGTGTTTTTCCTAGCCACCGTGCTTCTACATCTGCATTGCTTGCTGTTTGGGGTTTTAGGCTGGGTTTCTGTATAGCACTTTGTGACATCTGCTGATGTAAAAAGGGCTTTATAAATACATTTGATTGAAATTTGATTGACGTAAACCTGGCTGCCCATTCCACTTCCTGGAGATCTACTGTCCTGTGGGTTTTCCAGTCCAACCCTAATTTAAACACACCTGATTCTACTTATTAGCAGCTCAACAAGACCTTAACTAGCTGAATCAGATACGCTAAATTAGGGTTGGACTGAAAACCTACAGGACGGTAGATGTCCAGGAAGAGGGCTGGGCAGCACTGACATAAAGTGTTGGTCCCATGTTTCACGGTCCTCTGTAGCTCAATTGGTAGAGCATGGCGCTTGTAACGCCAGGGTAGTGGGTTCGATCCCCGGGACCACCCATACGTAAAACAAATGTATGCACACATGACTGTAAGTGGCTTTGGATAAAAGCGTCTGCTAAATGGCATGTTATTATATTATTACTATCATCTGAAAAAGAAAATCCCAGACATTTTCCAGACGCACAAAAGCTCATTTCTCGCAAATGTTGGGCCACATTTGTTTACATCCCTGTTAGTGAGCGTTTCTCCTTTGCCAAGATAATCCATCCACCTGGCAGGTGTGGCATATCAAGAAGCTGATCATTACACAGGTCTTGTGCTGGGGACAATAAAAGGTACCTCTAAAATCTATATTAAGGAGTATTTCTGTCTGTAATATAGACCTTTTGTGGGGGAAAAACTCATTCTGATTGGTTGGGCCTGGCTCCCAAGTGGGTGGACCTAGTCCTCCCAGGCCCACCAATGGCTGCGCCCCTGCCCAGTCATGTGAAATCCATAGATTAGGGCCTAATTTATTTATTTCAATTGACTGATTTCCTTATATGAATATGTAACTCCGTACTATCTTAGAAATTGTTGCATGTTGCGTTTATATTTTTGTTCAGTATAGAACAGAACAGGATAGAACAGGACAGGACAGGACAGGATAGAACAGAACAGGATAGAACAGGACAGGACAAAACAGGACAGGACAGAACAAAACAGGACAGGACAGGACAGAACAGGACAGGACAGAACAGGATAGAACAGGACAGGACAGGACATCGAACTATTCCCAGCCCCAGTCTCACATGCTCCAGACGGGCACACATGTGGTCCTCCCAGCCCTCTAATGGTGGAGCCTCTGGGATGAAGAGCCAGTCTGCTCCGGAAGCCAGCGCTGACACCAACGCTAGATACCTGCAGAGAGAGAGAACGTTAATGCAATGGAATAGCCTGTTTTAGAGAAGTTACCACAACATTAACGTAGCGGAACTTAACTTACCCACAGTGGCGCCCCATGACTTCCAGGACAAATGTACGCTGGTGGCTGTAAAAAAAAAACTTCATAATCAGAACTGATTTAAAAAGCATTATAGTACAAACCACATTAATGTTGTCATAGAACTTAAGAACTGAACTTACGCTTCTCACACACACTGCTGCTACTCTGTTTATTATCTATCCTGATTGACTAGTCACTTTTACCCCTACCTACATGTACATATTACCTCAACTACCAACACTGCTGCTACTCTGTTTATTATCTATCCTGATAGACTAGTCACTTTTACCCCTACCTACATGTACATACTGTATTGTGTGTAGATTGATGAGGAAAAAATAACAATTTAATCCATTTTAGAATAAGACTGCAACGTAACAAAATGTGGAAAAAGTAAAGGGGTCTGAATACTTTCCGAATGCACTGTATACTGACATACACAGTCATACACATACTCAGTCATACATACCTGTACAGGGTCAGTTCCAGTACCATATTAACAATGTGCAGGGATACTGGAGTGATGGAGGTGATATGTATAGGGGTAGGTGGACATATACAGGGTCAGTTCAATACCTAGTTAACATGTGCAGGGATACTGGAGTGATGGAGGTAGATATGTATAGGGGTAAGGGGACAGGGATACTGGAGTGATGGAGGTAGATATGTATAGGGTAAGGGGACAGCGATACTGGAGTGATGGAGGTAGATATGTATAGGGTAAGGGGACAGCGACACTGGAGTGATGGAGGTAGATATGTATAGGGGTAAGGGGACAGGGATACTGGAGTGATGGAGGTAGATATGTATAGGGGTAAGGGGACAGGGATACTGGAGTGATGGAGGTAGATATGTATAGGGGTAAGGGGACAGGGATACTGGAGTGATGGAGGTTGATATGTATAGGGTAGGGGACTATATACGGGGTCAGTCCAGTACCATATTAACAATGTGCAGGGATACTGGAGTGATGGAGGTAGATATGTATAGGGGTAAGGGGACAGGGATACTGGAGTGATGGAGTGATGTAGGTAGTATAGGGGTGGTTAGGGGGATATATTACAGGGGTCAGGTCCAGTACCATATTAACATGTGCAGGGAATACTGGAGTGATGGAGGTGATATGTATAGGGGTAAGGGGACTATATACAGGGTCAGTTCCAGTACCATATTAACAATGTGCAGGGATACTGGAGTGATGGAGGTAGATATGTATAGGGGTAGGGGATATATACAGGGTCAGTTCCAGTTCATATTAACAATGTGCAGGGATACTGGAGTGATGGAGGTAGATATGTATAGGGGTAAGGGGACAGGGATACTGGAGTGATGGAGGTAGATATGTATAGGGGTAAGGGGACAGGGATACTGGAGTGATGGAGGTGGATATGTATAGGGGTAAGGGGACAGGGATACTGGAGTGATGGAGGTAGATATGTATAGGGGTAAGGTGACAGGGATACTGGAGTGATGGAGGTAGATATGTATAGGGGTAAGGTGTCTAGGCATCAGGATATAAGATAAACAGAGTAGCAGCAGCGTATATGATGATAGTATGTGAGTGTGTGTGTAGAGTCAGTATAAATGTGTGTGTGAGCAAATGGAGTGTGTGTGTGTGCGCGTGTGTGTGTTGGAGTGTCAGTGTGTGTGAGTGTGTGTGTGAGTGTGTAGGGCCCTGCATAGAGACAGTGCAAAAATAAAAAAACAAGATCATCCGTGTAGCCATTTTGTTAACTATTTAGCAGTGTTATTGCTTGGGGATATAATAATAATAATAATAATGCCATTTAGCAGACGCTTTTATCCGAAGCGACTTACAGTCATGTGCGCATACATTTTTACGTATGGGTGGTCCCGGGGATCGAACCCATTACCCTGGTGTTACAAGCGCCGTGCTCTACCAGCTGAGCTACAGAGGACCAGAGAAGCTGTTCAGGACCCTATTGGTGTCAGAGCTACAGAGGACCATAGAAGCTGTTCAGGACCCTGTTGGTGTCAGACTTGATGCTCCGGTACCTCTTGCCGTGCGGAAGCAGAGAGAACAGTCTATGGCTTGGATGGCTGGAGTCTTGAACGATTTTCCCGACCTTCCTGTCACACCGCCTGATATAGAGGTCCTTGATGGCAGGGAGCTCGGCCCCAGTGATGTACTGGGTTGTCCGCACCACCCGCTGTAGCGCCATGCGATTGAAGGCGGTGCTGTTGCCATACCAAGCAGGGATGCAGCAAGTAAAGATGCTCTCAATGGTGCAGCTGTAGAACTTTATGAGGATGCCAAACATTTTACACCTCCTGAGGGGGAAGAGGCGCTGTCACGCATTCTTCACTACTGTGCGTGTGTGTGTTTGGACCATTTGAAGTCCTTAGTGATTTGGACACCGAGGAACTTGAAGCTCCGACCTGCCTCACTGCAGCCCCTTTGATGTGGATGGGGGCGTGCTCGGCCCCACACTGCTAAGTCTCTGACCTCCTCCATGTAGTCTGACTCATTGCCGTCGGTGATCAGCCCTACCACCGTCATGTCGTCAGTGAACTTGATGATGGTGTTGGTGTCGTGCGTGAACAGGGAGTACGGGAGGGGACCAAGCACACCAGAGGAGCCTGGTGGGAGGGGCTATAGGAGGAGGGGCTATAGGAGGAGGGGCTATAGGAGGAGGGGCTATAGGAGGAGGGGCTATAGGGGCTATAGGAGGAGGGGCTATAGGAGGAGGGGCTATAGGAGGAGGGGCTATAGGAGGAGGGGCTATAGGAGGAGGGGCTATAGGGGCTATAGGAGGAGGGGCTATAGGAGGAGGGGCTATAGGAGGAGGGGTTATAGGAGGAGGGGCTCATTGTAATGGCTGGAATGGAACCAATGAAACGGTATCAAACATACAGAAACCACGTTTGACTTCGATCCATTTATTACATTCCAGCCATTACAATGAGCCCCTCCTATTGCTCCTTCCACCAGCCTCTACTGAAGCACACACCCCTGAGGAGCCCCCGTGTTTAGGGTCAGCGTGGCAGGTGTGATGTTGCCTGCTCTCACCACCTGGGGGTGGCCCGTCAGGAAGTCCAGGATCCAGTTGCAGAGGGAGGTGTTCAGTCCCAGGGTCCTAAGCTTGAACGCTGAACTGTAGTCAATGAACAGCATTCTCACATCGCTATTCCTCTTATCTAGATGGGTGAGGGCCGTGTGAAGTGCAATTGAGATTGCGTCGTCTATGGATCTGTTGGGGCAGTAGTCATTGTGGCATGAAGCATTAGAGTTCTGGAACAGGAATGATGGTGGTCATCTTAAGACATGTGGGGACTACAGACTGGGACAAGGAGAGGTTGGAAAATACCCGTGAATACAAATCTTGTGCAATACACCGATGCATGTCTTGTATTCAAGATCCTAAATGGCTTGGCTCCCCCTCCACTCAGTATTTTTGTTAAACAGAAAAACCAAACATATGGCAGCAGATCCACAAGGTCTGCCATGAGAGGTGACTGTGTAGTTCCCCTAAGGAAAAGCACCTTTAGTAAATCTGCTTTTTCTGTGAGAGCTTCCCATGTCTGGAATACACTGCCATCAGACACACACAACTGCACCACATATCACACTTTCACAAAATGCTTGAAGACATGGCTAAAGGTCAATCAGATTTGTGAACATGGTCCCTAGCTGTGTGTTGCCGCTTTCCATGTCTGTTGTCTGTAACTTGTGAGGTGTGGAAACATTTTGTTGCTTTTATGAATTTTGTCTTGCTGCTTTTTGTTCTATGTTGCTCGGTCTGTATGCTACGTCTTGTTTGTCCTATGTTGCTATGTCTGTATGCTATGTCTTGTTCTATGTTGTTATTGTCCATATTGTGCCAGCTGTTCTGCGCATGCTCTGAGAATGCACCCAGGCATACTGTCTGGCCCCTCCGCCTTGCAAGTGTTCACCTGAATAAAGACCTTACTCAAGCCGGCCTCTGAGAGCGAGATCACCCAGTCCTCTGGGTCGGTGGGGGCCCTCACGCACGGTACGGGGTTGTTATTGTCGAAGCGTGCATAAAATGCATCGAGTTCGTCTGGTAGATAGGCATCGTTGGGCAGATCACAGCTGGGTCTTCCTTTGTAATCTGTAATTGACTGCCACATGCTGCGTCAGAGCTGTCTAATATGATTCCACCTTATTCCTATATTATCCTTTTGCTCGTTTGATGAGTCTGGAGTGGTCGTAATGTGGACTTCTTGCACTTGTTCCTGTCCTCAGCCATAATCTCAGGGTTGTCCTTTGTGCGGTAGCCCTGTCCTTTAGCTTTGATTGGGGAAGCAGCAAACCATTACTGTGGGGAACATCGTCAACGCTGCATTTCCTAATGAAGCTTGTGACGGAGGTGGTTAGCGCGTCGATGTTGTTGGGGGAGTCTCGGAACATATTCCAGTCAGAGCTAGCAGAGCAGTCCTGTAGCATAACCTCCGATTCTGGAGACCATTTCTCAACAGAGCGAGTCACAGGTACTTCCTGTTTGAGCGTCTGCTCGTAAACAGGAAAGCAGGAGTATGGAGTCATGATCTGATCTGCCGAATGGAGGACGAGGGAGGGTCTTGTATGCTTGCTTGTGGGTAGAGTAACAGTGGTCTATGAGTTCATCGCCCCTAGTGGCGAGGGAGAAGTGTTGATGGAAGTTGGGCACAACGTGTCTTAATGATGCGGAATTAAAATTGCCGTCAACAACATTTCCTGCTTGTTTAGAGCCTCATATAGTTCACCAGCTTGTTATATTTCTTGTCCTGAGGTGGAATGTATACAACAGTCACGATAACAGCTGAAAACTCCCCGGGAGGTAGAAGGGTCAGCATTTGACCATCAGGTATTCCAAGACGGGTGAACAATGGGTAGAGACATCCACTGCACTCGAGTCAGAACACCATTTGTCGTTGATGAAGAGGCAAACCCCTCCCCCTCTCTATTTCCCTGACTCCACTGTTTTGTCCACTTGGTGAATGGAAAATCCATTGTGTTGGATAGCCATGGGGGGGTATCTTCTCCGAAGGCCATGTTTCAGAAAACAGAGAATATTGCAGTTACGAGAGTCCCGTTGGTAGCAAATCCACGATCATCTGTCTTATTATCAAGTAACTGTAAATTGAAGCCGGAATTTAGTTAAGTAAATGCCGATCTGATGTTCAAAAGTTATTGTCGGTTATAAGAAATGATAGCAGATACATTGACTAACTGAATGATGTGCTTCGCCATTGTAGTAGTTTGGGTTTGGTTAGATCGCGGTGAATTGAATCATGGGAATCAAAATAATCATTTGCAAACAGTAAAAGGAAACAATCTGTAGCCTTCCTTTTGAATTATGTCGCTGCAAAACTCATTTTGTAGATACTTTAAGTATTCAATTTAAAGTGGACATTCAATTTATGGGACGTTGCAACTCAATAGATGATAGTAGTCAGCCTGAAGTAAACACTTCTAAGTGGGTTGGTTATTATTATTATTTATTTATTTATTAGGGGGTAGATCAACTTTAATATTGCAGATAGATTGTAACTTCCATCAATGTAATTGTCTGCATTACTTCCAATCCCCCATATGGTTTTTTCTTCTCTCATATCCATGTTGGATTTCTATTTGCCATATATTTTTCAACCGTACTGTGATGTTTTACAAAAGTTCTGAACCTTTCTATTCTCATTGCTTCTACAGATTGTGAATTAAAAATAAAACATTTTTGCTAAAAGTATTATTCTATTATTGATCGATTGACTATGACTTTTCAGATCACCCAGTAGTGCTATCTGCAGGGTTAGCTCCAGGTAAATATTGCAATCCTTCAGCCATTCCTGGACCTGTGACCAAAAACAAGCTACAAATGGACAGAACCAAAACAAATGATCTAATGATTCTGTCTCTTCACAGCCAAATCTGCAGAGCTGGGAAGATTGTATCCCCCATATAAATAACATTCTATTGGTAGCAAGAATTTTATATAATCATTTAAATTGAACAATTCAAAGTTTTGAATCCGGAGTCGTTTTGCGTGTCAGTTCATAAACACTATGCCATGGAATCGGTACGTCAAAAATCTCTTCCCAACTATTTTGCAATCTATATGGGACGGCTGTCTATAACTCCACCAGTCCTACCGATGATATCATTTACCAAGATTATACCTTTTTTAGATATTCTGTCCCAAAAAAATGTGTTTAGTATTATTACAAGGGGTACAACTTTTATTTTATAATGTTATTATTCTTTTTTCTTTTTATCGCATGGCTCACCTCATAAAATGTTTTAAATAATGTATTTAGTCAGGCAAGTCCATATTCTCACATATTTTAGAATGTAATAATAATTTGAATATCCATGCATTGGCAAGGCCTAAAAACATAATTATTCGAAAAGTGGCTGCTTTCTTTTTTTTACACATGGCCACATTATTTCTAGAAAGACCCATGTGGTGGTGCCACCTAGCTATCTGAAAAGGAATGCACTAACTGAGTCTCTCTGGATCAGAACGTCTGCTGAATGACTAACGAAGCTGTGTGTACCTCTGTGCTGTGGTGGTGATGGCATCCACTATCTCCATGATGCGATGCAGGGCGGAGTCAGCTCCTATCGTCATGTCTGTCCCACAGAAGTCGTTGTCTATAGATCCAACCAGCCCTACGATGTTCAGGTGATTATGCTGTTTCGCTAGGGTGTCTGTGATCCGACCTGGAGGACACACAGACAACTGTAACACACAGACAAGCTACACACTGACAAGCTAACACATAGACAAGCTAACACACAGACAAGCTAACACATGACAAGCTAACACACTGACAAGCTAACACACTGACAAGCTAACACACTGACAAGCTAACACACTGACAAGCTAACACATGACAAGCTAACACCTGACAAGCTAACCACAGACAAGCTAACCCACAGACAAGCTAACCACAGAAAGCTAACCCACAGACAAGCTAACCCACAGACAAGCTAACACACTGACAAGCTAACACACTGACAAGCTAACCCACTGACAAGCTAACCCACTGACAAGCTAACCCACTGACAAGCTAACCCACAGACAAGCTAACACACTGACAAGCTAACACACTGACAAGCTAACACACTGACAAGCTAACACACTGACAAGCTAACCCACAGACAAGCTAACACACTGTAGTCAGTGTAAAAAATACTGGATGCCATATCCTAATATCCTTTAAAAAATATGGTGAAATGACTGGGAAAAGCCAAGGAAGTATAAAGCATAATGTGTTTATTACAGAATGAGTCACTGCTTTAAGAGCGCGTTACCTTTCTGTACCAGTTCAGCCAGCAGTCCACTCCACTCAGTCCTGAAGATGTTGGCTCCGGTGAGGCTGCCGTCTCCTCCACACACACAGAGGTTGGTGATGCCTCTCTTCACCAGGTTAAAGGCTGCTGCCAGGCGACCGTCCCGCGTGGTAAAGGCCTTACAGCGAGCACTGCCGATCACCGTGCCACCCTGAGGGAGAGACAACAGACAAGACAGTCACAGACTGAATCACAGACAGTCTCCAGTATCTACGCTGCAGTAGTCTATGTGCCGGGGAGTTAGGGTCAATCTGTCCTATCTGGTGTAAATCTCCTGTCTTATCTGGTGGCCTGTGTGATCTTAAGTAGTCTCTCTCTCTCCCTCTCCACCAGCATTGATGAGATGGAATGTTATACCATAGATTACAGCATAGAAAAACGAGATTCAGAACACAGAAACAGCAAATACTCAACAAAGCACCGGCAGATATATTTAGTAGGGCTGAGGTAGCTATAGTTACATGTCACAGCTCCACACTAAAAGCCAATTGATGCTGTGTTGTTGGTGTTTGTCTAGCTAGCTAAATTGTACAGGCTGCATTTCTTAAAGCCAATTCATGCTTGATCTGAAAATGTGGTCTGTGGCTCCATATGGAGGGTGTGAGGCAATCCGGAGGCACGCGGAGGCCAAATCCGTACCGCTGCGCGCCTTCCAAATGTTGCAAAATGCGGAACTCCGTATAGCTCCGCATTGACATGATTTGTTGACGGTAGGTGGGGGGCGGGAGGGCCTGTATAAACACAACATCTCTGCTCTGCAAGAAGTATGAATGTCCTGACTTCTGCAGAGGCCGTATCACCTTAATGCAGGACGTCGGATTGACCATGCAGCGCTTTGAAATCAGAAATAGCATTGCAGACTAAGAGTTAACAACTGCATAGCAATGGATTGTACCATTGCAATGCAAAGCAGTAGACCCACACATTAATAACAGGACAGGAGCTGAACAGGCAAGGGAGGGACATCTCAAACAGTCTTCATACAGCAACTCTGAGAACAAACAGTTAAGTGATAATGCCCGAGAAGCCGGTGTTTGGAGGATATACTGGCACGGGTCGAAGTCCTCCAAACACCGGCTTTGAGGGCATCATCTCATTTATACAACGGGTTACCATCATATTCAAATAATAATGTACAAGTTTTCATTAAAAACGTTATTTGGATTAATTTATTCATACTATTTCATCCTTCAACAAGATATAGTCCCGACACAAATCTAGGGTTGCTACCAAAGCCAGCTGATTGTTCGTTCTATTGGTTCGGCAGAGACGCGACCCAGTCGTTCAGTCTTTTTGTTCTGTATCTATTGACGCGACCCAGTCGTTCAGTCTTTTTGTTCTGTATCTATGGACGCGACCCAGTCGTTCAGTCTTTTTGTTCTGTATCTGTTCGTTCTAAATGTTCCATTTCCATACTGGCTGGCAACGTTCTTATCCCTTGCTTGCTAGCTAGCCAACTATGGCTAACTTACAGTCACGTCAAACAGTGCAGCCAGAATAACAACAGAAGCTGCATTTGTTTAAGCTGTTTTCTAGTGACATTTGGATAAATCCATAACAATGAGCTAATGTGGCGCGATTTCGCCTGGCATAGAAAATGTGCTCTCTCGTCAGAGGAACTAGCCAACAACACAGCTAACACAATCACTTCAAACTGAAGCTGGAAAGAAACTAGCTGCACTTCGTTTTACCTTCTTTCAATTGATATTTCTATATACAGTGCATTTGGAAAGTATTCAGATCCCTTGACGTTTCCCACATTTTGTTACGTTATAGCCTTATTCTAAAATGGATTGAATAGTTTCCCCCCCCCTCAATCTACACACAATACCCCATAATGACAAAGCAAAAACAGGTTTAGAGAAATGGTTGCAAATGTATATAATAAAAATAAAAACATTTTTACATAAGTATTCAGACCCTTTACTCAGTGCTTTGTTGAATCACCTTTGGCAGCGATTACAGCCTTGAGTCTTCTTGGGTATGACGCTACATGCTTGGCACACCTGTATTTGGGGAGTTTCTCCCATTCTTCTCTGCAGATCCTCTCAAGCTCTGTCAGGTTGGATGGGGAGCGTCGCTGCACAGCTATTTTCAGGTCTCTCCAGAGATGTTCGATCGGGTTCAAGTCCAGGCTGTGGCTGGGCCACTCAAGGACATTCAGAGACTTGTCCCGAAGCCTCTCCTGCGTTGTCTTGGCTGTGTGCTTAGGGTTGTTGTCCTGTTGGAAGGTGAACCTTCGCCCCAGTCTGAGGTCCTGAGCAGGTTTTCATCAAGGATCTCTCTGTTCTTTGCTCCGTTCATCTTTCCCTCGATCCTGACTAGTCTCTCAGTCCCTGCCGCTGAAAAACATCCCCACAGCATGATGCTGCCACCACCATGCTTCACCATAGGGATGGTACCAGGTTTCCTCCAGACGTGACGCTTGGCATTCAGGCCAAAGAGTTCAATCTTGGTTTCATCAGACCAGAGAATCTTGTTTCTCATGGTCTGAGTCCTTTAGGTGCCTTTGGGCAAACTCCAAGCGGGCTGTCATGTGCCTTTTACTGAGGAGTGGCTTCCGTCTGGCCACTCTACCATAAAGGCCTGATTGGTGGAGTGCTGCTGAGATTGTTGTCCTTCTGGAAGGTTCTCCATCTCCACATAGGAACTCTGTCTTGGTCTCCTCCCTGACCAAGGCTCTTCACCCCTGATTGTTCAGTTTGGCCGGGTGGCCAGCTCTAGGAAGAGTCTTGGTGGTTCCAAACTTCTTCCATTTAAGAATGATGGAGGCCACTGTGTTCTTGGGGACCTTCAATGCTGCAGAAATGTTTTGGTACCCTTCCCCAGATCTGTGCCTCGACACAATCCTGTCTCGGAGCTCTACGGACAATTCCTTCGACCTCATGGCTTGGTTTTTGCTCTGACATACATTGTCAACTGTGGGACCTTATATAGACAGGTGTGGGCCTTTCCAAATCATGTCCAATCAATTGAATTTACCACAGGTGGACTCCAATCAAGTTGTAGAAACATCTCAAGGATGATCAATGGAAACAGGATGCACCTGAGCTCAATTTCGAGTCTCATAGCAAAGGGTCTGAATACTTATGTAAATAAGGTACTTTCATTTTGTAATTACAAAAAAAAACTTTTTTCGCTTTGTCATTATGGGGTATTGTGTGTAGATTGATGAGGATTTGTATTTATTTAATCAATTTTAGTATAAGGCTGTTACGTAACAAAATGTGGAAAAAGGGAAGGGGTCTGAATACTTTCCAAATGCGCAGTGTCCATAAAAATCATTCCAGCTGATTCATGATTTCGACTGGCTGAGAAACGTTGCCTGCCTGTCTGTCTGTCTCATCCCGGCTCCCGAAACATTCATTACAGCTGGAAATCGAATTTGAATATTGAAACAATGTTGCAAATGTCGGAGAGACAGAGAGCAAGGTTTATACAAATCTCCGCTGTTGAAAACTAAATGTTAGTCTAAAAGAAATGTGAGACAATGTCTAGATGCTTTTTATAGTGAAGATCAAGTTTATAAATTGCCTGGCTGGGCTGATGAGACTGTGGATTGTGCAGTCAGATGGAACAGAGTAAATAAGCATTTTAACGTCATAGATTTAGCCGGTGGTAACTTTTGGAACAGACACCGGCTGGAATGCGGTTTTAACCAATCAGCATTCAAAATCAGAACCACCCGTTGTATAACATTCAACAATACACACACACACACAAACACTGAATTAGACTGCTTTAAAACATTGATAAGAGTTAAAAAATGCATTAGAACATAAGATCGCGACAATTACATCTCTGCTATTTATCTACTGATGAGACTGGTGATCGCTACAGGCTACAGCACCACATGCAGAAAGAACTTACCATCTGACAAGCAGAACTAGACAGGGAGGGAGGGAGAGAACAGAGGATAGTGAGACAGTGACCATTTTTGTTGTTGTTTTGACTCTGTACTCCAGCACTTTGGATTTGAAACAATACAATGACTGAGGTCTAACCCTAACCCTAAATGAGGTGTTTCCAAGATGGCGTAGCAGTGCGGTCGTGTGTTCTGTAGTGTCCTCGTGTAAATAGCCTGTTTTTTTGACTGTTTGTTTCGTTTACCCCATATGTAACTCTGTGTTGTTGTTTTTAAATTGGCCAGGTCGCAGTTGTAAATAAGAACTTGTTCTCAACTGGCTTACCTGGTTAAATAAAGGTACAAAATCAACAAAATAAAAAAAAAGGTTAAAGTGCAGACTGTCAGCTTTAATTTGAGAGTATTGTCATCCATGTCGGGTGACCCGTTTCGAAATTACAGCACTTTTTGTACATAGTTCCCCCCTTTTAGGGAACCAAAAGTATTGACAAATTCACAGTATGTGTATTAAAAGTAGTAAAAAGTGTAGTATTTGGTTCCATATTCCACGCAAACAAGAAAATGCACATCCTGAGGCAGCACTCCTAGTGGCCGGTGATTTTAATGCAGGGAAACTGAAATCCGTCTTACCTCATTTTTACAAGCATGTCACCTGTGCAACTCTAGATCACCTTTACTCCACACATAGAAACACATACAAAGCGCTCCCTTGCCCTCCATTTGGCAAATCTGACCATAACTCTATCCTCCTGATTCCTGCTTACAAGCAAAAACTCAAAAACAGGAAGTACCAGCTCAATACGGAGGTGTTCCGATGAAGTGGATACTAAGCTACAGGACTGTTTCTCTAGCACAGACTGGAATATGTTCTGGGATTCATCCGATAACATTGGAGGAGTTTACCACATCAGTCACCGGCTTCATTAATAAGTGCATTGACGACGACGTCCCCACAGTGATCGTATGTACATATCCCAACCAGAAGCCATGGATTACAGGCAAAGTCCGCATTGAGCTAAAGGCTAGAGCTGCCACTTTCAAAGAGCGGGACACGAATTCGGCCGCTTGTAACAAATCCCGCAACGACCTCCGACGAACCATCATACAGTAAAAACGTCAACACAGGACTAAGATCGAATCCTATTACGCCGGCAGGGCGTCATGTGGCAGGGCTTGCAAACTATCACAGATTACAAAGGGGAGCCTAGCCGCAAGCTTTCTCAGTGACGCGAACCAGACAAGTTCAAATCCTTCTATGCTTAGAAGCAAGCAACACTGAATCAGAGTGCGCAGCTGAATGCTGGAAACATTTGGCTACTCGGTTTGTTGTTTTTGACTAAAAGTAGCCAATCTGTTAGATTATAAATACAGCACTTGTTTTTGCACGGATTCCGCGACGCGGTTAGCATTTAAGAGCTAGGACCGCTATTTCTTGTCCAGGAAGACAGTTTAAAGCATGCTTGACAGGGCCGCTAAACCTTAGCTAGCTAGCTAAGCTGCTAGCCATCAAACTAACGAAGACAGCTGCTTGGATTTTCCCGATTTGGGACTGCCTCTTCTCATGGAGCTACTGGATGCCACAGATCCCGCTATCCAGTAATGGAACCAGGCCACCCGCCAGCAGTCAATGGTGAACTGATTGTGATTATTTGGCTTTGGGAATCCAGACATCAAACAGCTTCGCCAACCTCGGAGGTTGCCGTGCCATCGTCCTCTACCCTGTTTCCATCCCAGGGGGAATCCTCCTTCTGGTTCCGTATGGTGTCTGAGACTCCGCCTTCCTCAGCCATGATGGATTCTACGGCTGGCTCGGGTCCATCGGGCCCCACCTCCCATCAGTCCTCGAAGGGTCCCCTAAACCACAGCCATTTCACCGTCAGCATCGGCAGCTCTATCGTGAGAAACGTCTTGGTTCCTGGGGCAAAAACCTGCTATCCTGGAGCACGAGCACAGGAAACATTTGCTTAATTAGTTGCGTGGACTCACTCTGTATGCAATAATAATGTTTAACATGATTTTTGAATGACTACGTCATCTCTGTACCCCACACATACAATTATCTGTAAGGTCCCTCAGTTGAGCAGTGAATTTCAAACACAGATTCAACCAAAGACCAGGGAGGTTTTCCAATGACTCGCAAAGAAGGGCACCTATTGGTAGATATGTAAAAGTAAATAAAAAAGCAGACATTGAATATCCCTTTGAAGTTATTAATTACACTTTGGATGGTGCATCAATACACCCAGTCACTACAAAGATACAGGCATCCTTCCTAACTCAGTTGCCGGAGAGGAAGGAAACCTCTCAGGGATTTCACCATGAGGCCAATGGTGACTTTAAAACAGTTACAGCGATAGGAGAAAACTGAGGATGGATCAACAACATTGTAGTTACTCCACAATACAATAGTACATTTACATTTTAGTCATTTAGCAGACGCTCTTATCCAGAGCGACTTACAGGAGCAATTACGGTTAAGTGCCTAGCTCAAGGGCACATCGACAGATTTTTCACCTAGTCGGCTCCTGCCGCCCAATCATGGCTACCCAGCTACCCTAATCATGGCTACCCAGACTATTTGCATTGCCCCCCCCCCCCCCCACCCCCTCTTTTATGCTGCTGCTACTCTGTTTATTATGTATGCATAGTTACTTTAACTCTACCCACATGTACATATTACCTCATTTACCTCGACTAACCGGTGCCCCCGCACATTGACTCGGTACCGGTACCCCCTGTATATAGCTTCCCTACTGTTATTTTATTATTATTATTATTATTTTATTTTATTTTACTGCTGCTCTTTAATTATTTGTTATTTTTCTACTTGTCTATTTTTTACTTAACACTTTTTTTCTTAAAACGGCATTGTTGGTTAAGGGCTTGTTAAGTAAGCATTTCACTGTAAGGTCTACACCGGTTGTGTTCGGCGCATGTGGCAAATAACATTTAATTTGATTTTTAAATGATTGTCTAGCAACGATCAACAACCAATTTGACAGAGCTTGAAGAATTTTGAAAAGAATAATGGGCAAATGTTGCACAATCCTGGCGTGGAAAGACTCACAGCTGTAAATCGCGGCCAAAGGTGATTCTAACATGTATTGACTAAGAGGTTTGAATACTTATCTAATCAAGATACAGTATACACACACACACACACACACACACACACAGAGTAGGGTTTTATTTTCATTAATTCTTTACATTAATTTTTCTTCCACTTGGAAATTTACAGAATATTTTGTGTAGATCATTAATAAAAGACAATTAAATCAATTTTAATCCCACTTTGTACGTAACAAAATGTGGAAAAAGTGAATACCATCTGAAGGCACTGCTTAAGAAACAAGGTTCAAGAAATTGGTAACTTGCTAGTAACAGATAACATTCATATACTGACTATCTCTGAAACTCACTTAGATAATACCTTCTATGATAGCAATACATGGTTACAACATCTACAGAAGAGACAGGAACGCCAATGGGGGAGGTGTTGCTGTTTATATTCAGAGTCATATTCCTGTAAAGCTTAGAGAGGATCTCATGTTAAATGCTGTTGAAGTAATATGGCTACAGGTTCACCTGCCTCACCTAAAGCCCATTCTGGTGGGAAGCTGCTATAGACCACCAAGTGCTAAGTCAGTACGTGTGTGAAATGCTTGATAATGTACAGTACCAGTCAAAAGTTTGGACACACCTACTAATTCAAGGGCTTTTCTTTAGTTTTACTATTTTCTACATTGTAGAATAATAGTGAAGACATCAAAACTATGAAATAACACAAATGGAATCATGTAGTAACCAAAAAAGTGTTAAACAAATTAAAATATGTTTTATATTTGAGATTCTTCAAATAGCCACCCTTTGCCTTGATGACAGCTTTGCACACTCTTGGCATTCTCTCAACCAGCTTCATGAGGTAGTCACCTGGAATGCATTTCAATTAACAGGTGTGCCTTGTTAAACGTTAATTTGTGGAATTTCTTTCCTTCTTGAGCCAATCAGTTGTGTTGTGACAAGGTAGGGGTGGTATACCGAAGATAGCCCTATTTGGTAAAAGACCAAGTCCATATTATGGCAAGAACAGCTCAAAAAAGCAAAGAGAAACAACAGTCCATCATTACTTCAAGACATGAAGGTCAGTCAATACTGAACATTTCAAGAACTTTGAAAGTTTCTTCAAGTGCAGTCGCAAAAACCATCAAGCGATATGATGAAACTGGCTCTCATGAGGACCGCCACAGGAATGAAAGACCCAGAGTTACCTCTGCTGCAGAGGATACGTTAATTAGAGTTACCAGCCTCAGAAATTGCAGCCCAAATAAATGCTTCACAGAGTTCAAGTAACAGACACATCTCAACATCAACTGTTCAGAGGGGACTGTGTGAATCAGGCCTTCATGGTCGAATTGCTGCAAAGAAACCACTACTAAAGGACACAAATAATAAGAAGAGACCTGCTTGGGCCAAGAAACATGAGCAATGGACATTAGACCGGTGGAAATGTGTCCTTTGGTCTGGAGTCCAAATTTGAGATATTTGGTTCCAACTGCCGTGTCTTTGTGAGACGCGGTGTGGGTGAACAGATGATCTCCGCATGTGTAGTTCCCACCGTAAAGCATGGAGGAGGAGGTGTTATGGTATGGGGGTGCTTTGCTGGTGACACTGTCTGTGATTTATTTAGAATTCAAGACACCCTTAACCAGCATGGTTACCACAGCATTCTGCAGCGATATGTCATCCAACATAATTGCAAAACGGTTTTCTAATGATCAATTAGCCTTTTAAAATGATAAACTTGGATTAGCAAACACAACGTGCCATTGGAACACAGGACTGATGGTTGCTGATAATGGGCCTCTGTACGCCTATGTAGATATTCCATTAAAAATCTGCCGTTTCCAGTTACAATAGCCATTTACAACATTAACAATGTCTACACTGTATTTCTGATCAATTTGATGTCATTTTAAATTGACAAAAAAATTGCTTTTCTTTCGAAAACAAGGACATTTCTAAGTGACCCCAAACTTTTGAACGATAGTGTATGTAGTGGTAGAGTAGTGATGTAATAATGTGTTGTATTGTAGATATGTAGTGGTGTAATAATGTGTTGTATTGTAGATATGTAGTGGTAGAGTAGTGGTGTAATAATGTGTTGTATTGTAGATATGTAGTGGTGTAATAATGTGTTGTATTGTAGATATGTAGTGGTGTAATGTGTTGTATTGTAGATATGTAGTGGTGTAATAATGTGTTGTATTGTAGATATGTAGTGGTAGAGTAGTGGTGTAATAATGTGTTGTATTGTAGATATGTAGTGGTGTTAATTGTTGTATTGTAGTGTAGTGGTGAATATGTGTGTATTGTAGATATGTAGTGGTGTATAATGTGTTTATTGTAGATATGTAGTGGTGGTGTGGTGTAATAATGTGTTGTATTGTAGATATGTAGTGGTAGTGTGATTGTAATATGTGTTGTTTGTGTATGTGTGTGTCTATGTGTTGTTTGTAGTATGTAGTGGTGTAATACATGTGTTGTATTGTAGATATGTAGTGGTGTAATAATGTGTTGTATTGTAGATGTCGTGGTGTGTGGTGTAATATGTGTTGTATTGTGATTGTAGTGGTGTAATAATGTGTTGTATTGTAGATACTGTAGTGGTGGTATTTTTGTGCTGAGTGTGTAACTGTGTTGTATTGTATATGTATGGTGTTATGTGTTATTGTAGATGTAGTGGTAGTGGTGTAATAATGTGTTGTATTGTAGATATGTAGTGGTGTAATAATGTGTTATACATAGACATGGAATCACTGGCCACTTTAATAATGGAACACTAGTCACTTTAATAATGTTTACATACTGCTTTACTCATCTCATATGTATTATTATTATTATTATTATTATTATTACAGTCGTGGTCAAAGGTTTTGAGAATGACACAAATATTAATTTTCACAAAGTCTGCTGCCTCAGTTTTTATGATGGCAATTTGCATATACTCCAGAATGTTATGAAGAGTGTTCAGATGAATTGCAATTAATTGCAAAGTCCCTCTTTGCCTTGAAAATGAATTTAATCCCAGAAAAACATTTCCACTGCATTTCAGCCCTGCCACAAAAGGACCAGCTGCCATCATGTCAGTGATTCTCTCGTTAACACAGGTGAGAGTGTTGACGAGGACAAGGCTGAAGATCATTCTGTCATGCTGATTGAGTTAGAATAACAGACTGGAAGCTTTAAAAGGAGGGTGGTGCTTGAAATCATTGTTCTAACTCTGTTAACCATGGTTACCTGCAAGGAAACACGTGCCGTCATCATTGCTTTGCACAAAAAGGGCTTCACAGGCAAGGATATTGCTGCTAGTAAGATTGCACCTAAATCAACCATTTATCGGATCATCAAGAACTTAAAGGAAAGAGGTTCAATTGTTGTGAAGAAGGCGTCAGGGCGCCCAAGAAAGTCCGGCAAGCGCCAGGACCGTCTCCTAAAGTTGATTCATCGGGGCACCACCAGTGCAGAGCTTGCTCAGGAATGGTAGCAGGCAGGTGTGAGTGCATCTGCACGCACAGTGAGGCGAAGACTTTTGGAGGATGGCCTGGTGTCAAGAAGGGCAGCGAAGAAGCCACTTCTCTCCAGGAAAAACATCAGGGACAGACTGATATTCTGCAAAAGGTACAGGGATTAAACTGCTGAGGACTGGGGTAAAGTTATTTTCTCTGATGAATCCCTTTTCCGTTTGTTTGGGGCATCCGGAAAACACCTTGTCCGGAGAAGACAAGGTGAGCGCTACCATCAGTCCTGTGTCATGCCAACAGTAAAGCATCCTGAGACCATTCATGTGTGGGGTTGCTTCTCAGCCAAGGGAGTGGGCTCACTCACAATTTTGCCTAAGAACACAGCCACGAATAAAGAATGGTACCAACACATCCTCCGAGAGCAACTTCTCCCAACCATCCAAGAACAGTTTGGTGACGAACAATGCCTTTTCCAGCATGATGGAGCACCTTGCCATAAGCCAAAAGTGATAACTAAGTGGCTCGGGGAACAAAACATCGACATTTTGGGTCCATGGCCAGGAAACTCCCCAGACCTTAATCCCATTGAGAACTTGTGGTCGATCCTCAAGAGGCGGGTGGACAAACTAAAACCCACAAATTCTGACAAACTCCAAGCATTGATTATGCAAGAATGGGCTGCCATCAGTCAGGATGTGGCCCAGAAGTTAATTGACAGCATGCCAGGGCGGATTGCAGAGGTCTTGAAAAAGAAGGGTCAACACTGCAAATATTGACTCTTTGCATAAACTTAATGTAATTGTCAATAAAAGCCTTTGACACTTATGGAATGCTTGTAATTATACTTCAGTATACCATAGTAACATCTGACAAAAACAAGAACAGAACAGATGAGGTACTACAAAATTAGAGCAAGCAGGTATGATTTTCTCTTTAGTTTTGAGTTCACGGGAAGAAGGAACTAGAGCCTGCCTTGTTAATGCGTTCCCACTAGATAACACAGCCACAAAGTCTGTGAAGGGCATGCTGCATTGCCGCATGTACCTCCCATCTGCTTCTTGTTTACATCACACTTCCTGATTGTAGCTCACCACCACCTACACTTGGTCTGGAATGTAATTACATGCTAGCATAGTTAGTGGCTAATGTTAGCTTAAGCTAGCTACCGAGCAAGCATACAAACTCCGTAACACAGAGTAGATCCTCCATATGACGTTGAGAAATAGTGCATTGTGGGTATTTTAGAAGATATCCTGAAATGAGTTAATAAATATGCAATAACCCAAAAACATAACTATCTCCCTACCCTTTGTTATTTCTTTTTCCGTGATATCAAATTGGTTACAGTCTTGTCCCATCGCTGCAACTGCCCTACGGACTCGGGAGAGGCGAAGGTCGAGAGCCATGCATCCTCCGAAACACGACCCTGCCAAGCCGCACTGCTTCTTGACACACTGCTCGCTTAACCAACGTGTCGGAGGAAACACTGTCCAACTGGCAACCGAAGTCAGCTTGCAGGCGCCCGGCCCGCCACAAGGAGTTGCTAGAGCGCGATGGGACAAGGAAATCCCGGCCAGCCAAACCCTCCCCTAACCCGGACAACGCTGGGCCAACAGCCGCCGCACAGCCTGGGATCGAACCCGGGGCTGTAGTGACACCCCAAGCACTGCGATGCCTTAGACCGCTGCGCCCCTCGGGAGGCCCTTCCTACCCTTTAAATAGTTAACCAAGGGCCTCCCGAGGGGCGCAGATAAGCCTATAACAATATGGACTAATCCAGAGATTGAAGAATGTTGAAGAGACACAGTTCATCATGTTGTCCTGCTGACAGTCGGTGATCACTTCAAATATTTCTCCCTTCCTCACAGTAAAAGATTAGCTCAAGCCAGGAGCGGACTGGCCATCTGGCCAAAAAAATTATATTGGGTCTTGTTTTGTTTTTTTCACAATTATAATGATCTGTGTAATAATGGGGGCCTCAAGGAAGAAAATGGGCCGGTGTGTTAGAAATGCCAGAGCCTATTTCTGGTCCCAGTCTTTTGACCATCCCATGTAAATGGCTCTGATCATGACTCCTGATCCCAGAGTGCATTAGCTACTATAGGTCACCATTACCTGCTGTATGATGTTGGTGACACTCTGCCAGTGGGCCAGCTTGATGTTGTCCCATTACCTGCTGTATGATGTTGGTGACACTCTGCCAGTGGGCCAGCTTGATGTTGTCCCATTACCTGCTGTATGATGTTGGTGACACTCTGCCAGTGGGCCAGCTTGATGTTGTCCCATTACCTGCTGTATGATGTTGGTGACACTCTGCCAGTGGGCCAGCTTGATGTTGTCCCATTACCTGCTGTATGATGTTGGTGACACTCTGCCAGTGGGCCAGCTTGATGTTGTCCCATTACCTGCTGTATGATGTTGGTGACACTCTGCCAGTGGGCCAGCTTGATGTTGTCCCATTACCTGCTGTATGATGTTGGTGACACTCTGCCAGTGGGCCAGCTTGATGTTGTCCCATTACCTGCTGTATGATGTTGGTGACACTCTGCCAGTGGGCCAGCTTGATGTTGTCCCATTACCTGCTGTATGATGTTGGTGACACTCTGCCAGTGGGCCAGCTTGATGTTGTCCCATTACCTGCTGTATGATGTTGGTGACACTCTGCCAGTGGGCCAGCTTGATGTTGTCCCATTACCTGCTGTATGATGTTGGTGACACTCTGCCAGTGGGCCAGCTTGATGTTGTCCCCTCCATCCACCAGACCCTGGTAGCCCTGAGAGAGAAACATCAATCACATCGATCAATCAGATCAATACTGGTCATGACGGAGCAGAACATCCTATTGTCATATTAATGATATTGTCAGTTAAAGGAAACAAAGAAGCCTATGACCTGTAAGACTTAGAGTACCTTAGGGTAACGACCTGTAAGACTTAGGGTAACGACCTGTAAGACTTAGGGTAACGACCTGTAAGACTTAGGGTAACGACCTGTAAGACTTAGGGTAACGAACTGTAAGACAGAGTAACGAACTTTAAGACATTGAGTAACGAACGTTAAGACAGTAACGAACTGTAAGACGTAGGGTAACGAACTGTAAGACGTAGAGTAACGAACTGTAAGACGTAGAGTAACGAACGTTAAGACAGGGTAACGAACGTTAAGACATAGGGTAACGAACGTTAAGACATAGGGTAACGAACGTTAAGACATAGGGTAACGAACGTTAAGACATAGGGTAACGAACGTTAAGACATAGGGTAACGAACGTTAAGACATAGGGTAACGAACGTTAAGACATAGGGTAACGAACGTTAAGACATAGGGTAACGAACGTTAAGACATAGGGTAACGAACGTTAAGACATAGGGTAACGAACGTTAAGACATAGGGTAACGAACGTTAAGACATAGGGTAACGAACGTTAAGACATAGGGTAACGAACGTTAAGACATAGGGTAACGAACGTTAAGACATAGGGTAACGAACGTTAAGACATAGGGTAACGAAGTTAAGACAGTAACGAACTGTAGAATAGTACCTCGTATATGAGATACATCTTGGCTCCAACAAATATCCCCATGCGGGTCACAGCGCGGACGGCTGCATTCATCCCTGGATATCAGAGGGTCAGATTACAAATTGCATTAAACATTTTATCCGTCATACTATAGATTTCTATGATCATATATTGTTTTATACATTACTTTTCATGTTCAAAATAATACAAAATCCACAAGTCCATCATCTTGATAGAATGTATTCTACTGATTATTTCCAGTGTCGGTCGGTGACATTTAAGATTAGGGAAGTTAATGAGTTCAGACATTTTGAATGAGCATGGCGTCATTTCTATTATTAAATGCCTGTCATTCATATTCCATTCACCCAGCTCAATGTAACATGTCATTCATATTCCATTCACCCAGCTCAATGTAACATGTCATTCATATTCCATTCACCCAGCTCAATATAACCTGTCATTCATATTCCATTCACTCAGCTCAATGTTACATCGATAGGTTTAGGCTACTACAGTGAGGGAATCCCCTGCTGATTTTGTACGTTTTCCCACTGACAAAGACATGATCAGTCTATACATTTAATGGTAGGTTTATTTGAACAGTGAGAGACAGAATAACAACAAAAACGCATGTCAAAATGTTATAAATTGATTTGCATTTTAATGAGGGAAATAAGTATTTGACCCCTCTGCAAAACATGACTTAGTACTTGGTGGAAAAACCCTTGTTGGCAATCACAGAGGTCAGACGTTTCTTGTAGTTGGCCACCAGGTTTGCACACATCTCAGGAGGGATTTTGTCCCACTCCTCTTTGCAGATCTTCTCCAATCATTAAGGTTTCGAGGCTGACGTTTGGCAACTCGAACCTTCAGCTCCCTCCACAGATTTTCTATGGGATTAAGGTCTGGAGACTGGCTAGGCCACTCCAGGACCTTAATGTGCTTCTTCTTGAGACACTCCCTGACATACTTGGAGAGCTCTTTGGTCTTGGCCATGGTGGAGAGTTTGGAATCTGATTGATTGATTGATTGCTTCTGTGGACAGGTGTCTTTTATACAGGTAACAAGCTGAGATTAGGAGCACTCCCTTTAAGAGTGTGTTCCTAATTTCAGCTCGTTACCTGTATAAAAGACACCTGGGAGACAGAAATCTTTCTGATTGAGAGGGGGTCAAATACTTATTTTCCCTCATTAAAATGCAAAATCAATTTATAAAATTTTTTGACATGCGTTTCTCTGGATTTTGTTGATGTTATTCTGTCTCTCACTGTTCAAATAAACCTACCATTAAAATTATAGACTGATCATTTCTTTGTCAGTGGGCAAACATACAAAATCAGCAGGGGATCAAATACTTTTTTCCCTCACTGTATATGAGACTGAAATGTTCCGTATACCCATCATAAGGTTGCTACAACCTATAACGTAGGTGCACAGGTTGTGAACAATTTGGAGTAATCAAGGTGAAAGACAGTGACACATTCTATACCGCCTTGCACACTCTTTCCTGCATCTAGCTGATCTAGGCTGTAATCATTAGTCCAACAGTTGCAAACAAGAGTTTCTATTGGACAAATTCAGGTAGGTTTATAATAATAATAATAATAATAATAATAATAATAATAAGCCATTTAGCAGACTTTATCCCCGTTTACTTCCGTTTAAGACACGTTTTAACAGAATAGACTGAACGAATAAATCCCTGATCACCCGCAAACACAGTTCACTTTCATAGTAGCCGGGTCCCTTCGATCGTTGGATAATTCCTTCTCGCATCTACGCGCTCTCCTCTCACCTTTTCCTTTCGCTTGTGGACTTCAACGCACAACACAACAGGTGTCTGTGACAAGGCAAAAAAAACATTCCAAGCTAAACCTTCATACATAACCGCTAACTAGGCTTGGGCGATATCCAGATTGTCATACCTTCATACCGAACTTGTGCCATATCAGGATATTCGGTAATACTGGCACAGAACACAAGGGCTGCTGTTTTCAAACCCCACACCGACGTCTTGCTTCCAGACAAGCTAAACACCTTCTTCGCCCGCTTTGAGGATAACACAGTGCCACTGACGAGGCCCACTACCAAGGACTGTGGCCTCTCCTTCTCCATGGCCGACGTGATTAAGACATTTAAGCATGTTAACCCTCGCAAGGCTGCCGGCCCAGACGGCATCCCTAGCCGCGTCCTCAGAGCATGTGCAGACCAGTTGGCTGGTGTGTTTATGGACATATTCAATCTCTCCCTTTCCCAGTCTGCTGTTCCCACATGCTTCAAGATGGCCACCATTGTTCCTGTACTCAAGAAAGCAAAGGTAACTGAACTAAATGACTATCGCCCCGTTGCACTCACTTCTGTCATCATGAAGTGCTTTGAGAGACTAGTCAAGGATCATATCACCTCTACCTTACCTGTCACCCTAGACCCACTTCAATTTGCTTACCGCCCCAATAGGTCCACAAACGATGCAATCGCCATCACACTGCACAATCCCATCTGGACAAGAGGAATACCTATGTAAGAATGCTGTTCATTGACTATAGCTCAGCATTCAACACCTTTGAACCCTCCAAGCTCATCATTAAGCTTGAGGCCCTGGGTCTGAACCCCGACCTGTGCAACTGGGTCCTGGACTTCCTGACGGGCACCCCCAGGTGGTGAAGGTAGGAAACATCACCCCCACTTCGCTGATCCTCAACACTGGGGCCCCACAAGGGTGCGTGTTCAGCCCCCTCCTGCACTCCCTGTTCACCCATGACTGCGTGGCCAAGCACGCCTCCAACTCAATCATCAAGTTTGCAGATCACACAACAGTCGTAGGCTTGATTACCAACAATGACGAGACCGCCTACAGGGAGGAGGTGAGGGCTCTGGGAGTGTGGTGCCAGGAAAATAACCTCTCACTCAACATCAACAAAACAAAGGAGATGATCATGGACTTCAGGAAACAGCAGAGGGAACACCCCCCTATCCACATCGACGGGACCGCAGCTTCAAGTTCCTCGGCGTACACGTCACTGACAAACTGAAATGGCCCACCCACACAGACAGTGTGTTGAAGAAGGCGCAACAGCACCTCTTCAACCTCAGGAGGCTGAAGAAATTTGCCTTGGCACCTAAAACCCTTACACATTTTTACAGATGCACAATTGAGAGCATCCTGTCGGGCTGTATCACCGCCTGGTACGGGAACTGCACCGCCCGCAACTGCAGGGCTCTCCAGAGGGTGGTGCGGTCTGATGAACGCATTACCGGGGGCAAACTACCCGCCCTCCAAGACACCTACAGCACCCGATGTCACAGGAAGGCCAAAAAGATCATCAAGGACATCAACCACTCGAGCCACTGCCTGTTCACCCCGCTATCATCCAGAAGGCGAGGTCAGTACAGGTGCATCAAAGCTGGGACCGAGAGACTGAAAAACATCTTCTATCTCAAGGCCATCAGACTGTTAAATAGCCATCACTAGCACATTAGAGGCTGCTGCTGCCTATTGAAATCACTGGCCACTTTAAGAAATGGAACACTAGTCACTTTAATAATGTTTCCATATCTTGCATTACTCATCTCATATGTATATACTGTATTCTATTCTATAACATTCTACTGTATCTTAGTCCATGCCGCTCTGTCATTGCTCGTCCATATATTTATTTATATATTCTTAATTCCATTGATTTACTCAGATGTGTGTATTGGGTATATGTTGTGAAATTGTTAGATATTACTTGTTAGATATTACTGCACTGTCAGAGCTAGAAACACACGCATTTCGCTACACCCGCTATAACATCTGCTAAACACGTGTATGTGACTAATAAAATGTGATTTGAACAACAGGCAAATAATGTTTACCTGAATTGAGCTAAAGGTAAAATCTGGGATCTTTTCTGTTCCTTAATGATATTAGCAGTTCACTCAATCTTAAACCTGATTAACATTCAACTGTCTTACCCTTCACTAACAACAATACCTGTGTTCTCTGTCGCCTTAGCAACAAAATAGACATTTGTGCAACCATGGGGCAAAACAGATGAGGTTGGCTTTGATTGTTGACAACATGTAAGCTATATTTAGTCTCCAATGTTTATTGAAAACAAATACATTTGCACTATGACCACTTGTTGTTTCAAATACATAGTTACAGGTGTTGGTTAGCTAGATATCGAATTTTAGCCATATTTTCATTGACATGAATTCAGTCAAAACAAGATGAAACATGCTGAAATAAGCCACTTACGATTCCCCACATGGCAGTGTCATTCTTGCTGGCAATCTGGCCATCCAGAATCACAACAGGCTAACTTCTGCCCAATGGAAGCGTGCACATCATTTTCGTGACGTTGTCAGCCAACCCATCTATGTAGCTACTGTAGATGCTAAGTCATTGTATTGTAAACACACACACAAAATCTATTCACTTACTCCTGCAAATATAACAACCATCTCTGTGTTTGCTGAGCTGCATCTCTCACCCTCTTTCAAGAAGAAATTCCATATGTCAATCGTCTATAAATTTGAAAAAAATGTTAACTCAGCTATCCAGCTTTGTTTTTTCAACAGATAGCTAGCTAATTGAGCTGACAACCAAAAGTAGCTAAAGTCATGTTAGCCATAAGTTAGCTAGCTATCTTTATTAGTAATTTTTTGCATATTTGGACAGTACTTGATTAGACAGTAATTGGTTAGTTAGTGATACTTTGTCGGGTGGTGAACAGAGCTTCAGCAGTTGGATTCAGTGTCCAGATAGCTAATGAATAACTTTACTGTCAAAACCCTGCTCAACATACAGTGGGGGAAAAAAAGTATTTAGTCAGCCACCAATTGTGCAAGTTCTCCCACTTAAAAAGATGAGAGGCCTGTAATTTTCATCATAGGTACACGTCAACTATGACAGACAAATTGAGAATAAAAAAATCAAGAAAATCACATTGTAGGATTTTTTATGAATTTATTTGCAAATTATGGTGGAAAATAAGTATTTGGTGACCTACAAACAAGCAAGATTTCTGGCTCTCACAGACCTGTAACTTCTTCTTTAAGAGGCTCCTCTGTCCTCCACTCGTTACCTGTATTAATGGCACCTGTTTGAACTTATCAGTATAAAAGACACCTGTCCACAACCTCAGTCACACTCCAAACTCCACTATGGCCAAGACCAAAGAGCTGTCAAAGGACACCAGAAACAAAATTGTAGACCTGCACCAGGCTGGGAAGACCGAATCTACAATAGGTAAGCAGCTTGGTTTGAAGAAATCAACTGTGGGAGCAACTATTAGGAAATGGAAGACATTCAAGACCACTGATAATCAACTCTCCTCGCCCCTACCTGGGCTTGAACCAGGGACCCTCTGCACACATCCACAACAGTCACCCTCGAAGCACCGTTACCCGTCGCTCCACATGTAACAGTGTTGCTGCCGTCCCTCTCCTCGCCCCTACCTGGGCTTGAACCAGGGACCCTCTGCACACATCCACAACAGTCACCCTCGAAGCACCGTTACCCGTCGCTCCACATGTAACAGTGTTGCTGCCATCCCTCTCCTCGCCCCTACCTGGGCTTGAACCAGGGACCCTGTGCACACATCCACAACAGTCACCCTCGAAGCACCGTTACCCGTCGCTCCACATGTAACAGTGTTGCTGCCGTCCCTCTCCTCGCCCCTACCTGGGCTTGAACCAGGGACCCTCTGCACACATCCACAACAGTCACCCTCGAAGCACCGTTACCGTCGCTCCACATGTAACAGTGTTGCTGCCGTCCCTCTCCTCGCCCCTACCTGGGCTTGAACCAGGGACCCTCTGCACACATCGACAACAGTCACCCTCGAAGCACCGTTACCCGTCGCTCCACATGTAACAGTGTTGCTGCCGTCCCTCTCCTCGCCCCTACCTGGGCTTGAACCAGGGACCCTCTGCACACATCCACAACAGTCACCCTCGAAGCACCGTTACCCCGTCGCTCCACATGTAACAGTGTTGCTGCCGTCCCTCTCCTCGCCCCTACCTGGGCTTGAACCAGGGACCCTCTGCACACATCCACAACAGTCACCCTCGAAGCACCGTTACCCGTCGCTCCACATGTAACAGTGTTGCTGCCGTCCCTCTCCTCGCCCCTACCTGGGCTTGAACCAGGGACCCTCTGCACACATCCACAACAGTCACCCTCGAAGCACCGTTACCCGTCGCTCCACATGTAACAGTGTTGCTGCCGTCCCTCTCCTCGCCCCTACCTGGGCTTGAACCAGGGACCCTCTGCACACATCCACAACAGTCACCCTCGAAGCAACCGTTACCCGTCGCTCCACATGTAACAGTGTTGCTGCCGTCCCTCTCCTCGCCCCTACCTGGGCTTGAACCAGGGACCCTCTGCACACATCCACAACAGTCACCCTCGAAGCACCGTTACCCGTCGCTCCACAAAAACCACGGAAACAACTACTTCAAGGTCTCAGAGCGAGTGACGTCACCAATTGAAATGCTACTAGCGCGCACCGCTAACTAGCTAGCCATTTCACACCGGTTACACACAGAAATGCTGGTTTTAGTCAGCACTAAAAAGGCTGGGCAGGCCAGGGCTCCTGTTTGGAGAAGTCACTGCAGTGTATAATGCAGCGTAGACTAGTTTGTTTTACACCATCCCAGCAGGGTGAAATACTTGGGGCAAAATACCTGAATGTCCGGTTCTGGTGACGTCAATGGCTAGCTACAGTGTGAAAGTGAAAAAAATCTAACAAAATATAGCTAGCTCTCTCTTGCTCGCTCTCTGCTGCTTCTCCTTGTTAAACTATTGTCTTTCTCTCTCTTCGAGTAAATATTTACTGTGTAAGTCTATGGAAGGGGTTGAGAACCATGAGCCTCCTTGTCAATGTGGTCCTCTGTAGCTCAGCTGGTAGAGCACGGCGCTTGTAACGCCAAGGTAGTGGGTTCGATCCCCGGGACCACCCATACACAAAAATGTATGCACGCATGACTGTAAGTCGCTTTGGATAAAAGCGTCTGCTAAATGGCATATTATTATTTTACCCAGAGGAGAACAGAAACTAGCTGTCCTCCAGCTAAACCACGGTGCTACTCCAGAGAGTGCTGTTGAGGCTACTGTAGACCTTCACTGCAAAACAGTTATTTGGTGACATTAACATATTTCATATAGTTTAAAATGGCTAACTTTTTTAAAGGTTTTACTATTTGCATGAAATTCACTGAGTTGGTTGGTCCTCCACTGATTAATTATGTGGTAGGCTGAGGCTGTAACCTTGACAGTCCCTGATCAAACATGCAAAGGGCAATAAAATGTTCCTCCTGTCTTTCACCTGATATCCTGCACGTATAGCCCAATAACACCCACCGACGTAGGTGCACCAATAGGGGTGCGCTTGACTAGCTCGCATAGTGCGAGGTGTTGAAGAGTTTACATTTTTCACAGCATCATATTAGTTCTGAATCCGTTCACCCGGCGTATAGAGTGATCTCAATCAAACGCACCTTGCGTTTTAAGTAACGCTTCCACAAAGATTTTGCAAACTGATTATAATAAAACGATGAGGATCGACGGATGAGAACACAAAACCAGGAGATTACGACTTTAACAACATTATAAGTGGAACGAGTCATATCTGCCAACATGCACGAAAACACATTTCATGGATAATATTGTCAAGCCCCCTTTCTTGCCTTTTAGTTGTCAAAACCCCATGTCAACAACTCGCGTAAAAGAAAACAAGTTTAAAATCATGAACAAAGTAAAATAACTAGAAGTTAACATATGACCGACGATCTGTATTGATTATGCTACTAACACAGGGATGTAGCTCAGCATGGCGCTTGCAACGCCAGGGTTGTGGGTTTGATTCCCACGGGGGGCCAGTATGAAAAAATAAAATAATGTATGAACTCACAAACTGTAAGTCGCTCTGGATAAGAGCGTCTGCTAAAATGACTAAAATGTAACACAGCCTAGCCCTAGGCCATGCATAGCTAGACAGATGTTTGTCCGTTTCCCTAATCATCCTGTACCTTGTGCATCTCCACCACTCGTCAACAAGGCGATAGCTTTCCCAGCGCCCGTCATCTTCAGTCTCTCTAAATCCGACATATTGGCAGCGGTGGAATACGGTTCAACCTCGACTGGAGAAATTATGTAAAAGAATTGCTTGAATCTCCTTAAAATACAAGTTACGAGCAGTTCGTCGAACACATGCAGCCAGTTATGTAGGTAATTGTCCTTGTGTTGGTTGACTGCCTGTGGAATTGACTCCGCCCCAACAAGATTGCACAAGCTGGGAAGGTTTGGTTTCCCGATTTCCTCCCTCCCCTCCTCCTCCTCCTCCGCCTCCACCCCCCCCCCCCCTCCTCCCTCCCCCATCATCCCATCCGCCTCCTCCACCCCCCCCTCCCCCTCCCCCTCCCCCCTCCCCCTCCACTCCCCTCCTTCTTCTTATTTGATGAGGTTAACGGCCGTTGGCATCCAATAAATGTTGCATTACCGCCACCTACTGGACTGGAGTAGAACTACCTTATACTTTGCTTGAAAAAATGAATAAACAAACACCCTACCATCTAACACTACACTCACAAAAAAACACAGAAAAACCCACCCAACCCTACTACTCCACGATTTAAAATAACCCTTCCACTCTAACCCTAACCTCACTAAAACCCCACCAACCCACTACCACTATTTTCATATCCCTTCCATCTAACCCTACCCTCACTAAAACCCACCACCCTACTCCACTATTTAAATACCCTTCCATCTAACCCTACCCTCACTAAAACCCCCCACCCTACTCCACTATTTAAATACCCTTCCATCTAACCCTACCCTCACTAAAACCCCCACCCTACTACATTATTTTAATCTATTTATTCCTACCTCAGGCTAACAGTCTGAAAGGATGGGACGCCACCACTCAACACACCCTGTAACTCTTCTGATGTCAAGTCTCGCACATCCAAATACCTCTCTGCAGCTGCCACCACAACCTCAATTTTCTGAGATTTACGTTCCATCCCTGAAGTACAGTTGATAACCATTGCTATAAATGCTAAAAATCCAATCTTACTGAAACATATATCACTTGTTGGTTTATCCCTCTGTACTGGTACAGATCTACTACTCCCACCACTCCTCTCAGGATCCCTCCCCCTTGACCCATCTTCCTCTACTTTCTTCACTGCCTCAGCATAAACAACTGAACAGAGACCAACCAGGCAAGCCTCTTCTAACAGCTGAACAGAAACCAACCAGGCAAGCCTCTTCTAACAGCTGAACAGAGTCCAACCAGGCAAGCCTCTTCTAACAGCTGAACAGAAACCAACCAGGCAAGCCTCTTCTGACAGCTGAACAGAAACCAACCAGGCAAGCCTCTTCTAACAGCTGAACAGAAACCAACCAGGCAAGCCTCTTCTAACAGCTGAACAGAAACCAACCAGGCAAGCCTCTTCTAACAGCTGAATCAAATCAAATCAAATCAAATTTTATTGGTCACATGCGCCGAATACAACAGGTGCAGACATTCACGTGAAATGCTTACTTAACAGCCCTTAACCAACAGTGCATTTATTTTAAAAAACAAAAAAAGTAAGAATAAAACAACAACCAAAAAGTGTTGAGAAAAAAAAGAGCAGAAGTAAAAAAAACAAAAAAAAAAAAAAAATAAAGTGACAGTAGGGAGGCTATATATACAATAGAATAAGTGACAGTAGGGAGGGCTATATATACAGGGGGTACCGTTGCATAGTCAATGTGCGGGGCAACCGGCTAGTTGAGGTAATATGTACATGTGGGTAGAGTTAAAGTGACTATGCATAAATACTTAATCAGAGTAGCAGCAGCGTAAAAAAGGATGGGGTGGGGGGGCATGCAAATAGTCCGGGTAGCCATGATAGCTGTTCAGGAGTCTTATGGCTTGGGGGTAGAAACTGTTGAGAAGGTCTTTTGGGACCTAGACTTGGGCACATCCGGTACCACGCTTGCCGTGCGGTAGCAGAGAGAACAGTCTATGACTAGGGTGACTGGGAGTCTTTGACATTTTGAGGGCCTTCCTCTGAAAAACCGCCTGGTATGAGGTCCTGGATGGCAGGGGAGCTTTGCCCCAGTGATGTACTGGGCCGTACGCACTACCCTCTGTAGTGCCTTGCGGTCAGAGGCCAAGCAGTTGCCATACCAGGCGGTGATGCAAACCAGTCAGGATGCTCTCGATGGTGCAGCTGTAGAATTTTTTGAGGATCTGAGGACCCATGCCAAATCTTTTTAGTCTCCTGAGGGGGAATAGGCTTTGTCGTGCCCTCTTCACGACTGTCTTGGTGTGTTTGGACCATGATAGTTCGTTGGTGATGTGGACAGAGTCCAACCAGGCAAGCCTCTTCTAACAGCTGAACAGAGTCCAACCAGGCAAGCCTCTTCTAACAGCTGAACAGAGTCCCAACCAGGCAAGCCTCTTCTAACAGCTGAACAGAGTCCAACCAGGCAAGCCTCCTATTGGTGTATTGCCGCCACCTACTGTAAGGGGTCTTCTTCTTTGATATTACTGCGGCCGCAAACAAAAGCTATAGGTGCATGCCGCCACCTACTGCCCTGGCTGTATATCAGCCCAAATAATTAACAAAATAAAACTCAACAAAATAAACAAAACAAAACTCAATGTACTCCTTTATTCAGATTCAACGTCCATCCCTACAGGCTCTGGGGCCTGAGAAGGAAGAGCATCTACAGACAGAACTGGAGTCCTGGAGACCCAGAAACCTTTCAGCCGCAGATTCTATCATGTCCAGTTTCTTTGACTTTTTGTTCATTTGTGCAGTAACAATTAAATCACATGCGCGATAAACACCATGAATTCCACCTTCTTCACAATCAACATATCAGTTTTCGCTCAACTGTTGAACAACACCTGAATCTCCACAGTCTGCGAGAGCATTCGCCACCATGTCTTCAGCTACCCTCGCTCCCTTCAGCTATTTCACGTGCCTCCGTGTAGGAGACCTGCTGTATAGCCCTGACCCCTGACCCCTGCCACTTCATAGTCCTTTACCCTAACCGGGAACTCCAGGAATTGGGAACGTGGTTGCCATCACAATTACAAACATCGTGCACCCTCGATTCTTCAACAACATTCCTTCGGGCACACACTTGATACATGTCCATACCTTCTACAACTCCAGCAAAACAACGGCTTGGACACAAAAGCTCTCACTGCATATCTAACGTATCTAAATTTTGAAGGGAGAACTGGTCAAAAAACAATAAATGACAGCTTTCTTTTTCCCACACACGGTTCAGCCCAAACGCGCTCCAACTCTCCTGGGACGCTCCTCGAAACCCCAATCCAACGGACGCCCGAGATGGGCACCTTTTAACGGGACTCTGCACAAAAAAACTAAAAATTCCCTTCATAAGTCGATGTTTTTTTCCTTAATGTATTTTCCTTCGCCTTTCCCCACACAAAAACAAAACAAACCACTTCGGGCACTCTGACCCCACTCCCCCCTTTCCCATGCAACCCCTTTCCCTCCTTGATACTTCAAAAAGATCTCCCCCCAAAAAGCATAATTTTTGTGAACCTTATTCCCCCAAAAAACCTATACTCATTAACAACTTTAGCCCTTTTGTTCCATTTTTCCCACCAGTCTCCTCAATCTGGCCAAATCACCTTACAAAAACCTCGGAACAAGTCCAAACCGGCAGTCCTCACCCCGGGTACTTCATCCCGGGTTCCCTCTCCACTAAAAACACTATCCCCTTTTGCACTTTTTCCCAACCTTCCTCCCCCCACCCCGCTTCCCTCACACTCACTTTTCCTGCATCACACCCTGCCACCGCAATTTTTTCCCCAAACTTGTCATTTCAATTTCCCTTTTAGCTTTCCAAAATTTATCAATCCTCCTTCCTATTCACTCAGGCATTTACTTTTTTTTTTTTCCTTGTCCCCATCTTCTCCTTTATCAATTTCCAGGAAATTTTCATCCCTCATTTATATTTTTTCATAAAATGTTTCGTTTTTTTTTTTTTCCCCTTTAAATTTTTTTCCGGGGTTTTTTTTGGGTTTCCGGGCCCGGGGATCTTCAAAAACCCCATCCCTTTTTT